ATGATGTTACCTGAGCCCTTTAAATGCATTGGGATTGTCCCCATCCTCTCCTCTTACAAAACAAGACATATTTGGAGCTAAGGGAAGGCATTTCTTCTCCAGCTACCCAGGTTTGCTTACCCCAACGTACTGCTTTCTTATCAGCCACCCTGCAGAGTTCCTGTCCCTCCATACAGCTCATACTGCAGCGCTCCAGGTTTCCATCTCCACGCTGATGCTGGAATTCGGCAGCAATCCCAGGGTGAAGAGAAGCCTGCGTCAGATCACACTACTTGTTCTCTGTCCTTCCAGCAATGACTGAACTAGGCGTATCCTTCAGGCTTGCTAGAAGGAATGTGCAAAATGCACCCTGACAAGTCAACCAGGTTTGGAGGTTTCAGGAATGAGGAAAATAAAAAGGGTTGTTTGGTGTGGGTTTCTACAAGGCAGCTTTTGGCAACGAGGCACACAGGCAACCTGAGGAACTGGTGCATATATTGATGCATATACTGATGCATATATAGACTCTGGTATCGTCCGGTGTGCCTGGCCAGGGTAAAAAATGCAGCTCTCTCTCACCCCTTACTGTGCAGATACTGAGTCGCAAAGGCAACCCCTTGTTTCACCCTCTCGGCTCCCTCCCACTCTCCCTGCACATTGATTGCCTCCCTGAACTTGTGCATGGTGCAACATTTAAATCCATCCCTTCCCACTTCACCTCATTCCCAGCTGTAACCAAATTTCAGGCAATGGGTGGGAAACCTTTTCTAGCTGACGGGATACATTCCCTTCAAGGCAAGTGACGGGGGGGGGGCGCTTGCCTTGTGGGGGCTGGGGGTAGCGGCATAAGCAAAAATGGGCCTTCCAACAAATGTTTAATTCTACCTTTGTGCAGAGGACTGGTTTCAATATCTTCTATCTATCCAGGCCAGCAAGCATTATTAGATCTCAACAACATGTTCCAACCAGCCACAAATGCTCAAGGGAGTTTGCAAAGGAGGGCCAGTGTGAAGTATGACCTGGCAAGAGCCCTGGGGCCAGATGAAAAGAGCTGGAGGCCAGCATTTGTCTCCCACTCCAAGCCCTGAGGTGCTCCACCTCTCCCAACTGTCTAATTAGAGCCTATCAATGCTGCCTGTGTCAGGGGAGGGCAGTGGTGTAGCGTAGCGTGGGTTGTCAGCACCCGGGGCAAGGCAAATAATTTGCGCCCCCTAACCCGTGGATTTGCGCCCTCTAACCCGTGGATTTGCGCCCCCTAACCTGTGGATTTGCCCTAACCCCAGATGTTGCGCCCGGTGCGGCCAGCCCCCCCTGCACCCCCCCCACGCTATGCCACTGGGGGAGGGTAGACTTCAGGCTTGTTTGGATCAACTTTATTTTTCACTAAAGAACATCCACCCAAAGCTAGGTTCAAGAGACATGAAGTTAGAATTAAAGGGCAGGTTGCTTCTGGGCACATTCTGAAGCCTGGCCATTCGTTTTCAGCACCAGAACTGAGCTGAGCTCACACGAAAATGCATTCCTGATTATCATTTTTCATTTTTACAGCCTAATTAGGTAAGTCACGTTGTTGCTACTTTTGTTAAGACAAGTGAGAGTCAGAAACCCTTGCCATCTACTGCAGGATCTCTGCTCTGAGAGCTTCCCATAGATCCTGCTCTACTTTCCAGGCACTTCTGGCCTACAGTATGTAACCCTTATGTAAGCCTTAACCTGCCACCACTGCCCAGTGCCTTAACAATGGGCAGGCTGCTTCAACCAGAGCTTTTGCCAAGGGCTTTAATCCATACTCATCAGCTGATGATGCCTTGCCTGTGCAATCCTGTTCCCTGTATTAATGCAGGATTAAACCCTAAAGTTATGCCATCTGATTTGCAAGTTGGGTGTGATTTGAGGGAAATGACCTCATGGGCCAAATTGGACCATTGGTGGGGTAAGACTGGCCTGTAGGACAAAAGTTCCCCTCTCCTGCTGTAAGGCATTATGTACACCTAGCGCATGATATCAGTAAATAATACCACCACCTTCTTGGGCGTGTAGAGATAGTCCCTTTCACGCTGCTCTAGGTGGAGTGAGCAGACTGGGTACCTGGGCAGGTTGGCTGGTCCTGCCCAGAAGCCCCTCTGCTAGGGTTATACACCTGGTTCTGGGGCTGACCACCCTCAGAGAAGGCCACAGGAGATTTTAGGTTGGAAATACTGCATCAGAATTTCAACGATTTTATTCTGCCCGTCGACCAAACCTGAAACAATGAACATTGTAAGGTAAATTTGTGCTATACCGAAAACACACAAACTTGAGTCACAGAACTTGTATTCTCATAACAGGGTCGCCATTTCAATTCCAGAAATATTTTATTTAAAATTAACTATCACACTAGTCAGTTAATAAAGTCTAGTACAACTAAACTTACACAAAAAAATATTTCAATCTGAATGACCTTTCCTTTAAAAAAATTATTTTCAGTTTTTCATCATTAACATCATTCAAACTTAAATTTAACAATATTTATACAATTGCGGGATTCGCTGAACCCCTGGACTTCCCTCCCCCCCCCCCCGGTTTTCCACAGATACACTTTTTATTTTTACCACATTTAATTACATATATCCAACTTTAATTAAATCCATATTTAATCCTTTATCTATTAAAAATTATAAGTGCTAAATCAATCCTGCTAACGTCTTTAAATCAATCTTTACACTGTTCCTTAATGTACTCTATAATTTTATACCATTCTTTTTAAAATTTACAATCATCTGGGTGTCTGATCTTCCCAGTCATTTTCGCCATTTCTGCAGTCCATCATCTTCACTATCCACTCTTCCTTGGTTGGCATTTCCTCTTCATTACATCTCTGGGCAAAAAGCATTCTTGCAGCTGTTGTTGCATACATAAACAGTCTTTTTAAGTCCTCTGGTATTTCTTCTCCTGTAATGCCTATTAAAAAAGCTTCAGGGTGTTTCTTTTACAAATATTATCTTAAATATTTTTTTCAGTTCATTATACAGTATGTAATTTCCCAGAATGCTCTAGCCTTTTTGCACATCCACATGTGGCATAACATGCCTTCATTCTCTTTGCACTTCCAACATATGTTGGTAGTGTTTTTGTACATTTTCGCTGATCTTGTGCGAGTCAAATACCATCGGTACATCATTTTCATATAACTTTCTTTCAATGTACAGTATGCTGTGAACTTCAAATCCTCCCTCCATAATCTTTCCCAGTCAGCCAAATTGTATATTGTACCCTACATCTTTTACCTAATAAATCATTAGTGCTTTTACCTCTTCATCTTTAGTTTCCCATTCCAACAGTTTATACATTTTTGACAATAGTTTTTCATTATTTCCCAACAAATCCTTTTCAAACCTTGATAACTCTTTACTGAAACCCAATCCTTTGTCCAGCCTAAACAGATCGTTGGTGGTATTGTAACCAATCTGTTAATAAATGTCTTATATCCTCAATTTTTTTCACCTTTAATTGGTTTCCTACTTTGGTTAACAGTTCTTTGTAAGTTGCCCATTCACCTTCCATGTTTGTTTTTTTAACTGATATTGCTTCCAATGGTGATAACCACCATGGAGTTTTACCTTCTAAAAGATTTTTGTATTTTCCCCATACAGCATAAATTGATTTTCTTACATGGTTCAGGAATTCCTTATGTACTTTTGTTTTTCCATACCAAAGGTATGCATGCCATCCAAATCTGTTATCATAACCTTCCAGATCTAATATATCTGAATTATTTACCGTTATCCATTAATGTAGCCAGCAGAGGCAGGGTGCCTCATAATATAACTTTAAATCTGGCAAGAGAATCCGCCTCTTTCCTTGGCATCCATTAGTAACTTATATTTAATCCTTGGCTTTCCCGCCTGCCAGATAAGTTTAGATTATGTCCTTTTACCATTGTCTGAAGTGTCCTGCTCCACTATCGGTATAGATTGGAATAAAAATAGCATTCTAGGCAATACATTCATTTCTATTATCAAGATGCTCCCAATTTCCTAAATGCCCCAATCTTTGGGTGTTCCAATCATAATAGAAGAAGAAGAAGAAGAAGAAGAAGAAGAAGAAGAAGAAGAAGAAGAAGAAGAAGAAGAGGAGAGGACTCCCTGGTCCTGAATGGGGTAACTGTGCCCCTGAAGGACCAGGTGCGCAGCCTGGGAGTCATTCTGGACTCACAACTGTCCATGGAGGCACAGGTCAGTTTTGTGTCCAGGGCAGCTTTCTACCAGCTCCTTCTGGTATGCAGGCTGAGACCCTACCTGCCCACAGACTGTCTCGCCAGACTGGTGCATGCTCTGGTTATCTTCCGCTTGGACTACTACAATGCACTCTATGTGGGGCAACCTTTGACAGTGACCCAGAAACTACAACTAATCCAGAATGCGGCAGGTAGACTGGTGACTGGGAGCGGCCACCGAAACCACATCTTGAAAGACTACATTGGCTACCAGTACGTTTCCAAACACAATTCAAAGTGCTGGTGCTGACCTTTAAAGCCCTAAACCGCCTCGGTCCAGTATACTTGAAGGAACGTCTCCACCCCCATTGTTCAGCCCGGACACCGAGGTCCAGTTCCAAGGGCCTTCTGGCAGTTCCCTCACTGCAAGAAGCGAAATTACAGAGAACCAGGCAGAGGGCCTTCTTGGTAGTGGCGCCTGCCCTGTGGAACACCCTCCCATCAGATGTCAAGGAAATAAACAACTGCCTGACTTTTAGAAAACATCTGAAGGCAGCTCTGCTTAGGGAAGTTTTTAATGTTTGATGTATTTATCGTGTTTTTAATATTCAATTGGGAGTCGCCCAGAGTGGCTAGGGAAACCCAGCCAGATGGACGGTCTATAAATAAATTGTTGTTGTTGTTGTTCCTGGGTGTACAGATAGTATCTAAAAATAACCCCAACAACACTAGAATGAACACTCATTGTTCACTCAAATTCCTAGTTTTCATATGGAAATGCTTTTTCATCTGTTGGCAGCAGGTTCAAGCAAGCAAACAGTCCAAATGTGATGCAAATTTAATCTCTCTTTAATTTGTTTAAAACATAATCCCATATTCCCAAATACAAAACAGGTATGCTAAACATTAAGAGGAAGACGCCCACTGCTGCTCATTCTCATCACAGAAGTTCATGGTTCCTCATTATGTCTGAATTGAGCTTAAAAACAGTAACAGTTTGGTGGTTTTTAGTGCAGTTGATTTGATAGATCTTGTTAAAAATGATATTGGAAAATAATTTTATATACAACATTTGGAAGCCAGGTACATTTAAAACCAAAACACAAATGTTTGCTAGTTCTGAATGGTTCGCATCTGTAAACAAACATCTGTCTTTTAAAATCTGAGCAACAATTTTGAGAGGGAATCGCAAAACAATTTTGTTTGTAGTCTCCTGTAGTAAAACCAAGTATACCAAAAAACAGGCTCTATATGCTCATCACCCTTGACAAATGCCTGAAACCAAACTACAATTGAACACAGTAAGATGAAGAAAAGAATCACACTTCCACCACACAAGCTCTCGCTTTGTTTCCAATATGAATTTATCCTCAAAAAATTAAAAACAGAGATCAGTTAGGCTTATTTACACACTTTTTCCTATTTGTCATCTAATCTCATCAGGATTTAAAATGAATTAAAATGAAAGGGGAACTTCAGTCATCTAAAACTTTGCATCCCAGGAGAGTACTTTCAGAACATTTATCTTTATTAATTGCGGGTGATAATTATTTTTTCCACTCCCCAGCTACATGTACAGGGTGCCAATACTGTAATGTATTCTCAGTGATCTGTTATTTTAAAAGTGCATAGTATCAGGAAAGCCAGCTCATCCAAAAAAGTACTGGATCATCCAAAGATTGGGGCATTTAGGAAATTGGGAGAAAAAAAATTAAAAGCATTCATACCTCTGTAATTCTAAAGGTCATTGTGTAGTTAATAGGAACTGCAAGTCTGTACACCTGCTTACAGTGATGGACTTTGAACACTGACAAGCAAAGGTATAAGATAAGACAGCTGGTCAGTTCAGCAGGCTCTTGGCAACTTATGGACACATACACACAGCTTGGACAGCAGCAGCAGATGATCATTAAATGCTGCTATTGATGAAACACTTCAAAAACACGCTGATGATATCTTAACAGGGTAATGCATATATATTCATTTGAATGCTGCCTGCAGTTGCTTCGAAGCACAGCATAACAGAGGTCTAAAGGTTACCCTACATACATGCTTTTACAAATGAGTTAAAGACGTTAGGTCTCTGCTTCCTCGTCACTGCCTGCAACGCTGCTGTCTGTGGATGCTGTGACATCTTCGTTGGTACCCTCGCCATTATCTCCTCTCTCAGCTGCTTCACCCTCTGGGCCACCCTCAGATGCACTATTATCTTTAGATGGCTGAACTCCTTCTGGGAGCTGGACACCAGTTTCCGAAGAATCTGCATCAGATGCTGTTTTTGGCATTTCTGTATTTGGATCACCTAAAAACTTCTGCCAACCCTTCAGTCTCTCTTCCCTTTCTCTTGAAGTCTCCTCGACCTGCGATCACAAATGAAAGTAAATGTAAATGTTTTGTGCCAAAAAGGGGGTGGGGGAGTTTTTTGCTTGTGACTTAATAATCAAAGCTTCAGAAACCTAACCAAAACCTATGTTAAGTATTACATTTATATTGCAGGAATGCCCCTCAAACCGAAAGTAAATTAACTGCACTAAAAACACACACACATAAAACTCTTATGAACAAACAGTACAAGAAGACTTAAGGCTGCTGAAAGCCTAAGTGGATTTAAGTGTGAGACAGACCTAGGTTTCAATGTCTTCTGTATACAATGCTTTAAATATCAGATCTAAATTCAGGTGAGTATCACATAAAATGTATGACCTATAAGACCGACCAGATTTTTAAAACTCTTATTTATTACATTTATATACCACACTTCATCTCAAGTTCACAGAATAATAATAATAATAATAATAATAATTTATTATTTATACCCCGCCCATCTGGCTGGGCCTCCCCAGCCACTCTGGGCGGCTTCCATAAAAACCAAAAATACAGTAAAATCACATGTTAAAAACTTCCCTGAACAGGGCTGCCTTAAGATGTCTTCTGAATGTTAGGTAGTTGTTTATCGCTTTGACATCTGCTGGAAGGGCGTTCCACAGGGCGGGCGCCACTACCGAGAAGGCCCTCTGCCTGGTTCCCTGTAGCTTTGCTTCTCGCAATGAGGGAACCGCCAGAAGGCCCTCGGCGCTGGACCTCAGCGTCCGGGCAGAATGATGGGGGTGGAGACGCTCCTTCAGGTATACTGGACCGAGGCCGTTTAGGGCTTTAAAGGTCAGCACCAACACTTTGAATTGTGCTCGGAAACGTACTGGGAGCCAATGCAGGTCTTTCAAGACCGGTGTTATATGGTCTCGGCGGCCGCCCCCAGTCACCAGTCTAGCTGCCGCATTCTGGATTAATTGTAGTTTCCGAGTCACCTTCAAAGGTAGCCCCACGTAGAGTGCATTGCAGTAGTCCAAGCGGGAGATAACCAGAGCATGCACCACTCTGGCGAGACAGTCCGCAGGCAGATAGGGTCTCAGCCTACGTACCAGATGGAGCTGGTAAACAGCTGCTCTGGACACAGATTTGACCTGTGCCTCCATGGACAGCTGTGAGTCCAAAATGACTCCCAGGCTGCGCACCTGGTCCTTCAGGGGCACAGTTACCCCATTCAGGACCAGGGAATCCTCCACACCTGCCCGCCTCCTGTCCCCCAAAAACAGTACTTCTGTCTTGTCAGGATTCAACCTCAATCTGTTAGCCGCCATCCATCCTCCAACCGCCTCCAGACACTCACGCAGGACCTTCACCACCTTCACTGGTTCTGATTTAAAAGAGAGGTAGAGCTGGGTATCATCGGCATACTGATGAACACCCAGCCCAAACCTCCTGATGATCTCTCCCAGAGGCTGCATGTAAATGTTGAAAAGCATGGGGGAGAGGACAGAACCCTGAGGCACCCCACAAGTGAGAGCCCAGGGGACTGAACACTCATCCCCCACCACCACTTTCTGAACACGGCCCAGGAGGAAGGAGCGGAACCACTGTATGACAGTGCCCCCAGCTCCCAGCCCCTCAAGACGGTCCAGAAGGATGCTATGGTCGATGGTATCAAACGCCGCTGAGAGATCCAGCAGAACTAGGAAACAGCTCTCACCTTTGTCCCTAGCCCGCCGGAGATCATCAACCAGTGCGACCAAGGCAGTTTCAGTCCCATGATGAGGCCTGAATCCCGACTGGAAGGGATCCAAATGGTCCGCTTCTTCCAGGCGTGCCTGGAGTTGTTCGGCAACCGCTCGCTCAATCACCTTGCCCAGGAATGGAAGATTTGAGACTGGGCGATAATTGGCCATCGTGGCCGCATCTAAAGATGGTTTTTTAAGAAGCGGTTTAATAACCGCCTCTTTCAGCGGGTCTGGGAAGGCTCCCTCACGGAGGGAAGCATTCACCACCCCACGAAGCCCATTGCCCAGTCCTTCCCGGCTAGCTTTTATAAGCCAGGATGGGCAAGGATCCAGGAGACAGGTGGTTGGTTTCACTCGTCCAAGCAGCCTGTCCACATCCTTGGAGGTAACAGATTGGAATTGATCCCACTCAACTTGACTAGACAGAACTCTAGCACTCTCCCGCCCCGGCCCTGCTCCCACGGTGGAGTCTACTTCTTCCCGAATCTGAGCGATTTTATCTGCAAAAAACTTTGCAAAATCATTGCAGGAGAACATGTGGCCCGTACTGGGCCCCGATGTTGCAGGTGGTTCTGCTAAATTGTGAACCACCTGAAAAAGTCTCCTGCTGCTGTTTTCTGCAGATGCAATAGAGGCGGTGAAGAAATTCTTCTTCGCCGTCGCTATCGCCACTTGGTAGGCTCGACGTTGAGCTCTAACCTGTGTCCGGTCAGATTCGGAATGAGTTATCCGCCACCAGCGCTCTAGCCGTCTCAACGATTGTTTCATTGCCCTCAGATCCGTGGAAAACCACGGGGCTGTCCGGGCTCCATGCAATCGGAGAGGGCGCTTCGGAGCCAAACAGTCAATAGCCCTGGTTAACTCCACATTCCAGCGGGCCACCAGGGAATCGGCTGAAAGGCCATCAACATGGGATAAAGCATCCCCTACCACTCTCTGGAAACCATTTGGATCCATTAGGTGGCGGGGGCGGACCATCCGAATTGGTCCCACCTCCCTGCAGAGGGGATGGGTCGCAGAGAAGTCCAGTTGCACCAGGAAGTGATCTGACCATGGCACTTCTTTCGTTTCGCTTTTACTTAGTGTCAGATCACCAACATCCATAGAGGTAAACACCAGGTCCAAGGCATGTCCACGGCTATGGGTAGGGCCAGACTTATTCAGGGACAGCCCCATGGAGGCCATGCTTTCCACGAAGTCCCGAGCGGCCCCTTGTAAGGTCGTGTCGGCATGGATGTTAAAATCCCCTAGGACGACCAAGCTAGGTGTCTCCAGGAGAACATCCGCCACGACCTGAAGCAGCTCGGACAGGGAATCCTTGGTGCAGCGGGGAGGTCGGTACACCAAAAGGAATCCTGTACTGCCCCTATTGCCCAACTTCCAGAACATGCACTCAGAAAACTGGGTCTTCCCAATAGGATGCCTGGTGCAAACTAATGACTTCCTAAAAATCACTGCAACCCCCCCTCCCCGCCCACATGACCTGGGTTGCTGTGCGTAAGAGAAACCTGGTGGACAAGCAGCAGCAAGGACAGGCCCATCTGCTTCATCCAGCCAAGTCTCTGTCACACATGCCAGGTCAAGTCCTCCATCCATGATCACGTCATGGATGGCAGTGGTCTTATGAATCATTGACCTGGCATTGCACAGCAACACTTTCAGGTCATGTGGGTATCCCTTGCTGATTCTAGTATCCATCCGGTCAGGACCAGACCCGGAGGCAGGGATAGTCCTCAGACGACTAAACCTGCCCCCTCTGTAATGACATGGTCTAGTCTTAGCGTAACTCCTCCTCCTACCCGTGATCACTGAGATCAGTTGTCCCAGTGCATCCCCCCCTGTGGAACATGCCCCAGCCATTTTGTGGGCTGGGGCCCACTCCCCGGCAGCCCAGACCCCTCCCCCCAAGAACAAAATAACACCTTAAACAAACAAACAAAATCAATAAAACAATACAAACAAAAAAATGTAAAAATTACAAAAACATCAAAATAATAATAAAAAATAATTCCCCAAACCCAACCACACATCCATCCCACCCCACCCCCCACATACAAAAAATCCAAATAAATTTTTTTAAAAACATTTTAAAACACTCTGTGCCCCTCCGGCAATAACTGTCCTAGTGAGGCCTGTCAGGCCCCGCCCTGGGCCAGGTGGTAAGTGGCAGGAAGGAGCAGGGCCCTGAGGCACTCACTCAGGGGAGTCTTCCTGGGCAGCAGGCCGCAAGCAGCACGCAGTCCTTATGAGGCTCCAGGCCCCGCCCCAAGCCAGATGGTAAGTGGCAAGAGCAGGGCCCTCAAGCACTCACTCAGGGGAGTCCTCCTGGGCAGCAGGCCGCAAGCAGCACGCAGTCCTTATGAGGCTCCAGGCCCCGCCCCAGGCCAGATGGTAAGTGGCAAGAGCAGGGCCCTCAGGCACTCACCCGCCCCAGGCCAGATGGTAAGTGGCAAGAGCAGGGCCCTCAAGCACTCACTCAGGGGAGTCCTCCTGGGCAGCAGGCCGCAAGCAGCACGCAGTCCTTATGAGGCTCCAGGCCCCGCCCCAAGCCAGATGGTAAGTGGCAAGAGCAGGGCCCTCAAGCACTCACTCAGGGGAGTCCTCCTGGGCAGCAGGCCGCAAGCAGCACGCAGTCCTTATGAGGCCCCAGGCCCCGCCCCAGGCCAGATGGTAAGTGGCAAGAGCAGGGCCCTCAAGCACTCACTCAGGGGAGTCCTCCTGGGCAGCAGGCAGCAAGCAGCACGCAGTCCTTATGAGGCTTCAGGCCCCGCCCCAGGCCAGATGGTAGTAAGTGGCAAGAGCAGGGCCCTCAAGCACTCACTCAGGGGAGTCCTCCTGGGCAGCAGGCCGCAAGCAGCACGCAGTCCTTATGAGGCCCCAGGCCCCGCCCCAGGCCAGATGGTAAGTGGCAAGAGCAGGGCCCTCAAGCACTCACTCAGGGGAGTCCTCCTGGGCAGCAGGCCGCAAGCAGCACGCAGTCCTTATGAGGCTCCAGGCCCCGCCCCAGGCCAGATGGTAAGTGGCAAGAGCAGGGCCCTCAAGCACTCACTCAGGGGAGTCCTCCTGGGCAGCAGGCAGCAAGCAGCACGCAGTCCTTATGAGGCTCCAGGCCCCGCCCCAAGCCAGATGGTAAGTGGCAAGAGCAGGGCCCTCAAGCACTCACTCAGGGGAGTCCTCCTGGGCAGCAGGCCGCAAGCAGCACGCAGTCCTTATGAGGCTCCAGGCCCCGCCCCAGGCCAGATGGTAAGTGGCAAGAGCAGGGCCCTCAGGCACTCACCCGCCCCAGGCCAGATGGTAAGTGGCAAGAGCAGGGCCCTCAAGCACTCACTCAGGGGAGTCCTCCTGGGCAGCAGGCCGCAAGCAGCACGCAGTCCTTATGAGGCTCCAGGCCCCGCCCCAAGCCAGATGGTAAGTGGCAAGAGCAGGGCCCTCAAGCACTCACTCAGGGGAGTCCTCCTGGGCAGCAGGCCGCAAGCAGCACGCAGTCCTTATGAGGCCCCAGGCCCCGCCCCAGGCCAGATGGTAAGTGGCAAGAGCAGGGCCCTCAAGCACTCACTCAGGGGAGTCCTCCTGGGCAGCAGGCAGCAAGCAGCACGCAGTCCTTATGAGGCTTCAGGCCCCGCCCCAGGCCAGATGGTAGTAAGTGGCAAGAGCAGGGCCCTCAAGCACTCACTCAGGGGAGTCCTCCTGGGCAGCAGGCCGCAAGCAGCACGCAGTCCTTATGAGGCCCCAGGCCCCGCCCCAGGCCAGATGGTAAGTGGCAAGAGCAGGGCCCTCAAGCACTCACTCAGGGGAGTCCTCCTGGGCAGCAGGCAGCAAGCAGCACGCAGTCCTTATGAGGCTTCAGGCCCCGCCCCAGGCCAGATGGTAGTAAGTGGCAAGAGCAGGGCCCTCAAGCACTCACTCAGGGGAGTCCTCCTGGGCAGCAGGCCGCAAGCAGCACGCAGTCCTTATGAGGCCCCAGGCCCCGCCCCAGGCCAGATGGTAAGTGGCAAGAGCAGGGCCCTCAAGCACTCACTCAGGGGAGTCCTCCTGGGCAGCAGGCCGCAAGCAGCACGCAGTCCTTATGAGGCTCCAGGCCCCGCCCCAGGCCAGATGGTAAGTGGCAAGAGCAGGGCCCTCAAGCACTCACTCAGGGGAGTCCTCCTGGGCAGCAGGCCGCAAGCAGCACGCAGTCCTTATGAGGCTCCAGGCCCCGCCCCAGGCCAGATGGTAAGTGGCAAGAGCAGGGCCCTCAAGCACTCACTCAGGGGAGTCCTCCTGGGACTGTACCCATCCTAATCTCAGTTTAAGATGTCTAATAATCTTCTATATGATGGTATTAAAAAACGGTAAACTAAACAAACAAAAACAAATTAATAAAAATTCAAAATGATGAATTGGGATCCAACTCAATTTAGATTGCATTCCTGGATACACTCGTCTAAGAGTAAGTCCTGTTGAGCTCAAAGGGACTTCCTTGTGAATAGATCTGTGCTGTGAATTACACTGGCCCCACTCAAATCAACTTGAAAAGTTAATCATTCCTAAGTTAATTCCATTGAAATAAATGGGATTTGTGGAACTAAAGAATGTTCCTATACATCTTTGCTAATAAGTAAGCTGCACCAAACCCAAAGGGACTTGCAGTGATCTATAATCATTTCCTCCTATGTCCCCTCTGTTGTCTCCCTTCTATTGTTTCCTGAATTATACACCACCATGAGAATCTTTTCATTCTTTGTAAAGCAACATGTATATGGAAAGCTCTGTATTAATAGTAATAAGCTGGACGAGCCCAGGGGATGAGGGGAGAATGTAACAGCATGTTATTCCACAGGCTAAATTTAAGGTGACTTTTTTTTTTGTTATGGGTTAAAAGGGACATGCTTTGCTGCACCACTTCAAAAAGGGGCTCATTCCCGCGGGGGAAGGGAACCAAAATTCTTATTGGAATCATGACTGCAGAGCAAAACTTAAAGTGAGAAAGTACTTTGAAAATATAAAGTACTCAAATTTCCAATTCTCCGTTGTGATTATGAATGCCTGAGATCCAGAGCTTTCACCCTTGGCTAGCCGGCCAGAGGGGATGTGTTGGTTTCTAACCTACAGTAGGATTCCTGAAAGCAGCCTCTATGTAATGCATCATATACAGACATAGCTTCAAATATCTCTCAAACAGCTAAACGCCCTGTTTAGGGAAGCTTTTAATGTTTAATAGGTTATTGTATTTTAGTGTTTTGTTGGAAGCCGCCCAGAGTGGCTGGGAAACCCAGCCAGATGGGCAGGATATAAATAATAAGTTATTATTATTATTATTATTATTATTATTATTATTATTATTATTATTATTAGAGACACACCTGATAATCTGTTACACCATCCCATGTCTCCACAGAGAGCTGACGTCCACCAAACCATCGCCCGTTGAGTGCCTGTTTGCAGACATCTCCTTCTTCTGCTTCTTTAAATGACACAGAAGCAACACCATCTGGGTGCCTCTATAAAAACAAAAGAAAGCCAGAGGCTATCAAATCCAATCTAGGCCTTTATACGCTTAAACATAATGACAGATTTTAGAAAACTACTGGGACTTCAAGAGCAAGAACACTATAAAAGTACCATGGTACCAGAGAATCACTTCCAGAAAGAAAGAAACTCTGAAAACATTATGAGATGGCTATCATCACACCATATTCCTAAATATCTTAAATATTTGTCAGCCTATATACTTACAATGGCAGTATCAACATCAGAATTCTATAGCTGCTTAAACACATTCTTGCGAGGCACCATCTTCACTGACTATCTGTCTGTTTAGTATGGTGTACTAGACGGAATAATAGATTTTCTACCTGGGAGACCTAGAATCCGTTCCCTGTTCAGACACAATGGTGTCTTGGTGGTCTTAGTCCACATCTCTCAATCTAACCTACCTTGCAGGATAGCTGTGAGGATCAAGAGGAGAGGAAGAAGACAGAGGAATACCACCCTGAGCTCCTCAGGAGGATAGGGGCTATTTATTAATAAAGTGAAGCATTTTAAATCCAAGAAACTTTAAACGTATCTGGCAGTTAATCTAAACTTCTTCTAAAACAGTTTCTCAAAAAAAAAAGCAAAATATTTAACACTGAATACAATTTAAGTATCTGCTACATACAGCTAACAACTACGATCATGTAAAATTACCTACGTCAAATAGAATGACTTTCTTTACTTGTCCAAACTTTTCACATTCTGTCCGAAGATCTTCTCTTATCTCATTTAGCACTAAAGGATCTTCCTGCAAAAATATCCAGTTACAAGATTACGTCTTAAAAGCATTTTCCAACATTGCTTCAGAAACAAGAATTTCCACATACTGGCTATACCATCCTGAGACACTAAGCCAATCCTGGCCAAACTGTTTAATGAGTATTATTGAAATTGGGTTTCATATTCATCTGATGTTCAAAGCATAACTCCAAAAGAAAAATGTCTTCCTTACAGGACAGAATGCTCCTGGTCAACATTAATGGAATCTTAGCAGGGCTACTGTGTTGCCCATGTGAAAAAGAACAAGTGGTATAAATGAACAAAGTATACATGAAATAAAATATCCTTTTACAATATTTTCTTAGAATTAAAAGAAGCACATCTTTAAATTCAGGTAGGTAGCCATGTTGGTCTGACACAGTCGAAATAAAAAATTTAAAAATAGTCCAGTACCACCTTAGAGACCAACTAAGTTTGTTCTAAATATAAGCTTTTGTGTGCATGCACACTTCTTCAGATACCTATCATGTATCTTTTTCACGGCCTAGGATCCTCGTTCCTACGGGACCGCCTCTCCCGGTATGCCCCACGGAGAGCCTCAAGGTCCATAAATAGCAACACCCTAGTGGTCCCGGGCCCTAAGGAAGTTAGATTAGCCTCAGCTAGAGCCACGGCCTTTTCAACTCTGGCTCCGCCTGGTGGAACGCTCTGCCTCATGAGACCAGGGCCCTGCAGGATCTGATTTCTTTCCGCAGGGCCTGTAAGACAGAGTTGTTCCGCCTGGCCTTTGGCTTGGAGCCAATTTGATTCCCTCTTTTTCTTTTTTCTTTTTCCTTTCTCCTCCTGTGATGAGGCTGCATTTTAATATTTTAATGTTTCAATATTTTAATTACAGATAGGTAGCCGTGTTGGTCTGCCAGAGTCAAAACAAAAAAACACGAAAGCTCATACCAAGAACTAACTTAGTTGGTCTTTAAGGTGCTACTGGAAGGAATTTTTTTTGTTTTGAATATTTTAATTGTTATCTTTTAATCTTGTTTTTAAGTTGTATTCATTCAACTTGTTTTTATTATTGCTTGTTAGCTGCCCTGAGCCTGGCCTTGGCTGAGGAGGGCAGGGTATAAATAAAAAGCACAATGCTGCAGTTTCAGTTTAGATTCTTTTCCTAGCATGACTACCTGCACTTGCCATTCCCAGCTTTTGTGCCTTACATTAAAAAAGGGGGGGGTGATGTGCTTCCCTACCTCAAAATCGCTTGGGTGGAACATGTTCCTGATAATGATAACACGCTCGTGCCGCATTCGAACACTGCCATCTTTCTTCTCCGGTCTCCAATCCAGCAGTCTAATGAAATGAAGCAATAGTAAGGGGTTGGGGCTGATCTCTTCAGTTTCTATAAGAGTTTGTTGGGAAAAAACCATTAAATTTGATATTTCCTAAATCAAGGTCACAGCACCGGCAGTTATTTCATAACACATAATGAAGCTAGCAACCTGAATCTGAAAAACTATTGGAAAACCACCTGATTTAAGTCTCTGGCAATTTAAAGAAGGCTGCAATCCCATACTCACTTACCTCGGGCTAAGCCCCACTGAACTCAGCACCAGCAGTATATATTTAGTTTGAAGCTAGTCCCTTGTGAAATTTGGAGCAGCTTTTGAGATAAAGGTATCAGGCAGCTGCTGTAAAAAAAAAAACTGTGGTAAAAATGTCACACCACTAGAGTAAGCCCTCAACTTACATGGAGGTTACATTCTGGAGATCGCGCCTAATACCAATATCACATATAGTCAAAACACACCGGATGCAAGGCCAGGTGCAACTGTCAAAGTATTTTTCCCGACATCTACCTCCCTTTTCATTTTTACAATTCTTCTTTCTTTTTTTGCCAAGCATGTATAGCTGCAGGCTTACTCTACTTAATACAAAAATAAGCGTGGACATAGCTTTAAACGACAGCACACTCAGTATCAACAAAATATCCTGAAGTTTAGAAATCATAAAAGGTATAACAGCCAACTGCAAGGTGTGCCAGACAGTTTAGAAACTTTGTTTCACTGGTTTAAATGAATGACATATTTTTAGATTGCAGGTTTTAGCCTGTATATTTCCTCCCAGTAATGTAAAAACCAATTTTATTTACAGAAATGACTACACACTTTTGTTGTTGAGACAGCTTCTTCTTGTAGTCCTTGCATTTCTTTTTCTTCTTGCTGGCATCGTACTCCCCCTTTGGTTGAAACTGTGCAACTTCCACATGCAATTTGTAGCCTCTAATTTCATTTTCATCCAATAGTTTTAATGCTAATTCAACAGATTCTCTCTATTATTAAAAATAAAAACAAAAAATTAGAAGAGGTAATTCAGACTTAGGTGGAAGGACTCTTACCTTCCACCTAAACAACAAAGTCTGGCTTGTGAAGAGGTAAAACTTACAAAAAAAATTACCATAATAAGCTACCTTGAAGTCCCAGTGACTGCTCAAAATAAAAATAAAATTCAAAGTAACAAAGAGACAAGTGAAAGGCTGAAAGCATCATTGTGAAAGTATAACTGAAGCACACAACTAACCTTTAAGTAGCAGCAGAGCCCATCTCCTTTAAGATTTCCTTCTTTGTCTTTGTAAAGTTTAATTTTAGGCTCCTCTGTTTGTGGATCACGCATAACAATACCACATTTTGACATAACCTGCACAAACTCATCTTTTGTAATGTCTGGTGGCAAACCTGTGGAAATAAATTTAAACAATTGCAAGAAATACACCTGTCAACTTCACAAAATCAATTTATACAGAAGAATCAAATAGAGGATTCTAACTCATCGCAAGGTTCCTTATCTCCTGGCTTTTGGACTTAAGAACTCAGTGGAAGATCCCAAAGTATGTGCCATGCAGTGAATTGTTTTAATGAAAGCAGGTATTTCTTGCAGTATTCAGGGAGGTCGTCATGAAGCACAGCTCACTCTCCCTCCCTTTTCCAGAGTTGAAATCTGATGATCCTGACCCAGAGGAGCCTTACAGAATGAATCCATGGAAAGCATCTGGAACTTCAAACATCAACTCTGCTTTGGCACGTTCAGGAGCAGACAGGACGGGAGCAGAAGTTGCAGGAGGGGGTACTAGGAAGGAAAGGAGTCACAGTCCTCGTGTTTCAGTGCCACAAAAAAGGTTTTATGGACAACTGACGTAAGCTGGAGAACTGCATCAGGGATGCAGAGCTGAAGAGAGACACACTCTGGCTTCTGCTACCCACCAAGAGATCTGGAGCAAGAGAGAGATCAATCTGGTCCCATTCAACAGCTGCTAAAGTATAGCTGTTCCACGCCTAATTTCCTTTTATTTCCCCATTTCATTAACGTATATACTTTTTGTATTTCAACAGAAATATGTCAGATTGTAAGCCTGCAGGCAGCAACTTTCTTAACTTTTAATATCCGTACAGTACTTAGAAAATTGTGAGCACTTTGCAAGTGTTGAACAACAGAAAGGGGTCTTAATCACATGCTTTGTATGCAGAAGGTCCCAGATTCAACCCCTGGCATCCCCAGAGAGGGCTGGAAAGGCTCTTCCGAAACCTAGAGGGCCACTGGCAGCGTAGGCATTTTTCTGTTGGATGGACCAATGGCCTGACTTGCTATAAGACAGCTTTCTAACTTGGATGGAATGAACTTGCCTAAATGAGATTTTTTAGCAGTTGCAGGTCCCACTTGCCTAAGAGTCAGTAGTATCCACATCACCACTAAATGGACAAAGTGTGGCTCTCAATTATAGTTAAGCAGAAAAGCAATGGAGAAGGTAGGAGACTGACAAAAAATTCACACATTTCAGCATAAATAACTTCTGCGTAATAATTTCTGTTACGTGTTTCTCAAATATACGCACAGAACCCAGTTTTTAATAGGTTATTTTGTTGTTAACGTTACCCACCTACAATTTCCCTGGTGGTATTGTTTTGTTTTGTTATTTTATTTTATTTCCTATATTCCAGCCAGCTAAACTGTATTAAAATCCTGAATAAAATTCCATCATTTTTCTCTTCTTCAACTTCCAGAAAGGTTTTGCTCCACTGCAAAGCTTTTATGCAATCCAAAGTAAAATAATATATTTTTAAAGTATATTCAGATACATCTGTCTTCCTAACCATAAGGTTTGACTTTCAACCATAAGGCTTCCCACTGCATCTTCAGCAATCTGCAAATGCCAAGAGTTTTTTTTCTTACCTGTCACATATACATTTGTGTTTCTCTGTTCTTCAACATGAAACCATCCTAAGGAGCAGATCATGATTAGATTAGTTATGTTGCAGTTCTAAACCAGCACATGAGACCACAGAAATTCACATGAGACCATAGAGAACTGCTGCCAATCAGAGCTGACACTATTGGGCTAGACAGACAAACAGTCTGACATGACCTAAGGCAGCTTCCTATATTCACATTTATGCAGCTTTACCAAAGATCACAAATCATTAAAAGTTGCCTGTTATTTGATTCTTTAAAATTTAGACTTTCAGAAGAGATTAAGTAGTCTTTCTGAATGGTAATGAGATCTTTCAGTATGAAGATGCATGCAACATTGCCACTGAAGCTGTTAAATGCTCAACTCCACAGAAACAGACATTTCTTCTTGAGCAGCAGACTACTTCTAAGTCATGCACAACGGGGCCCCTTGCCTGCATCAGGTTTTCTTTTCTCTCCTCTTTGTTTAAGATCTGTTGCCTGAGATGCTTTTGGATCTGTTGGCTGCTGGATCTTGGTATTCTTTGAATCTTTAGGAGTTTTAGATTCAGTCTTTGTAAGAGATGCAGATGAATTATCTGAACTTTCAGTGGGGAAGCCATAGTTAGCATGATATGTTGCCAGGAAATCTTCAGTAACCTAAAAGAGAATTTAGAGTAGAGATAGATAAGGGATTCCGTCTGAGCTACTAGGTAAAGGTAAAAGTAAAGGACCCTTGGATGGTTAAGTCCTGTCGAATTTGACTATGGTGTGCAGCGCTCATCTCCACTTTCAGGCTGAGGGAGCTGGTGATTAGCTGCAGACAGTTTTTCCAGGTCATGTGGCCAGCATGATTAAACAGCTTCTGGTGCAACAGGACACTGTGACGAGTGCCAGAGCACACGGAAATGCCATTTCCCTTCATGCCACAGTGGTACCTATTTATCTACTTGCACTGGCATGCTTTTGAACTGCTAGGTTGGCAGGAGCTGGGACAGAGCAACGGCAGATCACCCTGGCATGCGGATTCGAACTGTCGACCTTGCAATTGGGAAGCCCAAGAGGTTCAGTGGTTTAGATCACAGCGCCACCTGCTCCCCAGAGCTACTACATGTGATAAATGTACCAATCTAAACACTGAAACAAATCATGATGATCATGTTCTATGTTTTAAATTATGGGGCAGAGGCCTTTCATAATGGAACTGCAAATGACAGTATAGGAGGACAAACATGCATCTTTTATAACAGCCTTCCCCAACATGGTGCTCTCCAGCTGTTTCACACTACAGTTGCCATCAGTCCCAGCCAGCTGGTATACAAGGTATAAGGATGCTGCTATAGGTACATCAGTACACGTCATTTTGTGAACCACAACAGCTTTGCATATCTAAGAGATTAAGTCCCTAATGATTTATATTTATCCTGAATGAACAACATTTGACAACCTATTAATAAGCATTCCCGAGGCAGCAAACAGAAAAATATAGAATGTGCTTTATACAGGATGAGTCTTTGAAAAGAGGCCCCGTGGAACATGTGCACTCTGTATCCACAGGGCCTCTTTTAAAGGACTCACCCTGTACAATAACAGTTTTTTTAAAAAGTAAGTAATCTCCTTGCACAGAGGCAGCATAAAATAATTTACAGCCAGGATTCCAAAAAACAGCTAGAAAGTCTGGATAAATAAAAAATCTCTTCACCTAGACTACTGCTTGGTGTTAAGAATGGGAAAGAGCTCTTTACCTTTTTGTTACTATATGTTGTTTTTAACTTTCCAATGTAACAGTGAACTACCCTAAGAAGGGATCTACAGGCCTGTTCACTGTGGCAAGTGCACATCCCCTATTGGACAAGGATGATGAGCTCCCCACCCAACTTTTGGCTGAGCACAGGAGCACAAGTTTAAAGTGAAGAACAGTTTCTCTCGCAAGAAACTGGAAATGGGGAAGGGGGGTGGAAGAGAAATTATGTCTGACCTGTGCAATTCTTTGCAGGTACTTCACCATATCTGAAACAAAATATGACATTGATGCAATGCCATCTTTTTATTCCTTCTATTATTTTTTTCATTATAATTTTATCTATTTATAAAACTTATAAGGACAACCCCTTACAAAATTCAAAAGGGTATGGCATTGTTTAATACAGAGGTGGCTAACTTGTTGCCTTCCAGATGCTGCTGGACTCCTGCTCTCCTCATCCCTGAGCACTGGCCATGCTACTTGGGGTTGATGGGAATTAAAATTCAGTTACCATCTGGAAAGCCAAAGATTAGCCACCCCTAGCATAATGCAATAGTGTTTCCTTATAGGTTACTTTATCAAATGAACATTAAAAAGTATTTCCCCTATTTAGTTTCATTTGTTAATGTTGATCTTTTTAGGAGATACTGTGGAGTTACACTACTGTACTCATATTAATGCGCATAGTAGGAGAGCCCCAAGAACTTCACTCACCCACCTTCCTCTTGGAAAATTCAGCACAGATAAAGTCTTCACACAGCACTTCCTTAAAACTATGGAACTCACTTTATGGAACAGGCTTTAAAAGAGGATTTGTGGACAGTAATGCTATCATTATGGCCACCAGCCACAATGGATATACTCTGCCACCACAGTTGGGAGGCAGAAATGCTTCTCAATACCCAGTTGCTGGAAACCACAGTAGGAGATGAGAGGGCTGCTGTGCTGGGGCCCCGCTTGAGGGTTTCCCACTGGGGCATCCGGTTGGGCACTGTGGGAACAGGATGCTGGATTTATAAGGGTCATTGGCCTGATGCAGCAGGCTCTTCTTATATTCCTATTCCATTATTATTATTATTATTATTATTATTATTACTTTCCTCTTTACAAATTTCACTGAAAATTCTAAAATCAATTACGAAATCAATTACAAAACACAAAGTGTTGTCTTCAAAGACAAATGCATGTACAGATGGGTGGGATACAAATAATAAAATTATTATTATTAGCTAAAAAAGGTAAAGGTACCCCTGCCCGTACGGGCCAGTCTTGACAGACTCTGGGGTTGTGCGCCCATCTCACTCAAGAGGCCGGGGGCCAGCGCTGTCCGGAGACACTTCCAGGTCACGTGGCCAGCGTGACATCGCTGCTCTGGCAAGCCAGAGCCGCACACGGAAACGCCGTTTACCTTCCCGCTAGTAAGCGGTCCCTATTTATCTACTTGCACCCGGGGGTGCTTTCGAACTGCTAGGTTGGCAGGCGCTGGGACCGAGCAGCGGGAGCGCACCCCGCCACGGGGATTCGAACCGCCGACCTTTCGATCGGCAAGCCCTAGGTGCTGAGGCTTTTACCCACAGCGCCACCCGCGTCCCTTTATTATTAGCTACATGGCATCAAAACAAACTTTGAAAATATTTTACATCACTGATTCAGCTCGCATCCACAGGGCACATGTCAATCTAAAACATTAAGATAATTCTCCACAGTGGCTGCCGTGGCAACTGAGCTGTGAGGGAAATTACTGCACTACTGTCAATAGACTGCAAATCAAGACCTTTTTGAAATAGTGTTTTTCTTCTTCAAAGTAAGTTTTATAATTCACATACTAAAAAACAAAACGGACAAAGGTCACTCCAAAGTAAATTTGCATATAAACATTAATTAACTCTGCCAATGTGGGGGCCAAGCATACATGGAATTTTCCCACATGAAATAAAAGTAAAAGACATAGATCTCCAATTTGTATTTCCTGGGAGGGAGGAATTGCTGCACTGCAAGGCACACCAGAGCAAAAACTACCCGTCCAATTCAGAGAATATTAAGAACAGCCCCAAAGCAAAAAGCTTGGCTAACATTAACACCACTTATTTGTATTCTGATTATGATTCCTTAACTGTACCGTAGCTCTAAGTGGACCTGGGGCTGCGGGGGGTGGGCTTTGGCTCTGCAGATATTGCTGGGCTGTTTATTTTATTTATTTGTTTATTAAATTTATATACTGCCCTATACCCAGAGGTCTCAGGGCAGTTCACAGAAAAGATTACAATATATAAAATCAAAATAAGAACAATGACCCAATAACACCCCCCCAAAAAGAGCCACATTTTAAAAGGGTACAGGATGTTGGATGTCAATCCGCTCAACCAAAGGTTAAAAAGGAACATTTTTGCCTGGCACCTAAAGCTGTATAATGAAAGTGCCAGGCGAACTTCCCTGGGGAAAGCATTCCACAGACAGGGAGTCACTGCAGAAAAGGCCCCGTTCTCCTGCTTCCACCCTCCAGTCCTCTCAAGGAGGAGGCACACGAAGGAGGGCCTCAGAAGATGATCTGAGAGTCCGGGTAGGTTCATATGGAAGAGGCGGTCCTTGAGGTATTGTGGTCCTGAACTGTTTAAAGCGTTATAGGTCAAAACCAGCACTTTGAATTGGGCCTGGAAACTAATTGGTAGCCAGTGCAGTCGGACCAGGATCGGTGTAATATGCTCAAACCGTCTTGCTCTGAGCAACCTGGCTGCTGAATTCTGCACTAGCTGAAGTTTCTGAGGCAGCCCTACATATAACACATTGCAATAATCTAACCTTGAAGTTACCAGAGCATAGACAACAGCTGAAGCTGATGGAAGGCACTCCAGACCACTGAGGCCACCTGAGCCTCCAGCAACATCAAAGGGTGAAAGAGTACCCCCAAGCTGCGAACCTGCTCCTTGAGAGGAAGTGTAACCCCATCAATAGCAGGCGATGTCCCAGTCATCTGGTCTGGGGAACCACCCACTAACAGTGCCTCAGTCTTATCTGGATTGAGCTTTAGTTTGTTGGCTCTCATCCAATCCATTACCAAGGCAAGACACTGGTCCAGCACTTCCACTGCCTCACCTGCAGATGTAAAGGAGAAATAGAGCTAAGTGTCATCAGCATACTGCTGACAAAAAAATACTCCAAACCTCTGGATAACCCCACCCAGTGATTTCATGCAGATGTTAAACAACATGGAGGATAGGATTGAGCCCTGTGGAACCCCACACTGAAGGTTCCACAGGGTTGAAAAGCATTCCCCAAGTAGCACCCTCTGGGAACGGCCATCCAAGTAGGATTGGAACCACCGCAAAGTGTTGCCACACACCCCTAGTTTGGAGAGTCGCTCTAGAAGGATACCATGGTCAATGGTATCAAAAGCCGCTGAGAGGTCGAGAACAATTAACAGGGGCATGTATCCCTTCTCTCTCTCTTGACAGAAATCATACAGGGTGACCAAAGCAGTTTCTGTGCCAAAACCAGGCCTAAACCCCGATTGAAATTGATCTAGAAAAATCAGTTTCTTCCAAAAGCGCCTAGATCTGGTCCGTGACTACTCACTCTAGAACCTTGCCCAGGAAAGGAAGATTAGCAACTGGCCAGTAGTTAGTTAGGTTTTCTGAATTCAGGGGAGGTTTCTTAAGGAGTGGTTTTACCACTGCTTCTTTCAAACAGGCAGGGACCACCCCCTCTCTTAAAGAGGCATTGATCACCTCCCTGGCCCAGCTATTCCCTCCCTGCTGGTTTTTATCAGCCAAGAGGGGCAAGGGTCTAGACTCCAGAGTGCAAGTTGTTGCCCTGACTGATCAGCGCACCTTGTCCACATCCTCAAGCCTTACCAACTGACTGTGCTCTGGACACCCCATGAGATACATCTGCTGTAACAGCAGAGTCAAAGTCTTGGTGGATGCAAGCAATTTTATGCTCAAAGTGTTTTGCAAACAAGTCACAGCGAGCTACCATTGGTTCCATCACCTCTTTGGGCCAGCCTGTAAAAGGCCCCATACAAGCCCGGGGCCACCAATATTACTATTATTACAACCATGATCATTATTAACCTGCACTCAGAACATTCTGGCCACTGTATAAATAGCAGCAATAAACGAGAGCAAGGCTACGCCATACTTTGCTCTGATTCTTGCTTTTATATTATGTATTTTGTGTTTTTGTGCTGTGAACCGCCTTGAGATCTTTGGCTGAAAGTCGGCATACAAACGTAATGAAATTAGAAGCAAAGAAACAGCGGCGGCGTCTTTCCCGGTCTGCACCATGACGCGCACAGGCCCCGCCCCTCACCTTCGGGAACCAGGCCCTCTTGTCGCGATCCCACTCGTACTGCGTCCCGTCCGCCGGGTCCGTGTACGTGAAAGGGTCCTCGCCGCCTTCCTCGTCCTTCTTGCCGTACAGCTCCTGCAGCCGCAGCTGCTGGTAGAACTCCTCGTTCCGATCCGAGCCGCCGATACTCATGTTGTTGCCGGAGCCCAGGCTGACGAGGTAGAAAACGCGCCTCACAAGCTAGGCCGCGCCTCAGATGCCGCCGCCGCCGCCTCCTACTCGGGAGCCGCCGGACTGCACGAAGCCGTTCAGGGCGCCTGCGCGCGGGCTCGCACCACGGCTGCTCTTGCGCAGGCGCGGCCCCGCCCCGCTCCACATGCGACGCAAGTCCTGTCACATCTCCACACACGCCCCGCCTCACAACCGCCGGTTACGGAAGAAGCGAACGGCGCATGCGCGGGAAATGACCGTTACCCCCCTCCCCCCCCCCGCACACACCTCATTCTCCGTCTGTACACGCACAGAAATATTATTCACCTCAGCCCTTTTATTTATTTGTTTATTGGATTCGGTTGATGGTTTTATGATTTTCTACAAAAGGCTGAGGAGGAATTCCTCGCGCACACACTGCGCAAGAGCGGAAGTCCGCGGGGAGAGGGGCAAAGGCGTAGCCACGTGATGTGTATTTTTTAAAGTACCCAATTGAAAAGCAAGATCTGGGAGCCAATGAGAGACACGCCTCATAATCTGGAGGGTGGGGGTACGAATGAGGGAGACACACACAGCCCAGCCCAGCCCCCCTTTTCATGAGAGCAAGGCGCACGTGCTCTGGTACCTGATAGTCCCATCAAGGGATCTCTTCTTAGAAGCTCTTTTTCCAAACCATTGGCTGATGTCAAAACAAAATAAAAATATTCCTTCCGTTGGCTGATGGTTGGCTCCGAGTCCCAGTCTCAATCTTGATTGCCAGTCTCTGCTTATTTGGACCTGGAAGCCCCACTGAACTCACTGGTGGTTGTTTCCAAGGCAACGTCCACGGGCTCATGCCGCGAACAGATTTTTATTTCTCTTGGGACAAAGCAGCATTTTTGCTGTGCCTCCCAAAGTATGGTTACCAGATGTCCCCGTTTCCCGGGGGCAGTCCCCAGATTTATGAGTCTGTCCCTGGACAAAATCCGTCCCCAGAATGTCCCCGGATTTCATTTAATGTCCCCAGATTTATATTTTAAGTATTGTATATTTATTAGTGACTGTTGCATGATTGGTTCAATGGCACAAGACACATTATATGGGGACTTCTGGTGAGGCAAAATGGTGGGCACCATGGCAGCGAGCAGCTCTTGAAGCCAGCCAGAACCAACTGCACTACCAGGCTGGCTCTGGGCTGCTGAGACTGCCACTGCCACTGCTGAGGGGAACCGGGGATACCTGGCATGTCAAGTGGGGGAACTGCAGACCCCCCCCAAAACCCAAATTGAGCTGGGAGCGACAGTGCCCGCCACCCTGCCGACTGCCCAGCGGCACTCCGGGGCCAGGAAAACCCCGGAGCTGATGCAGGGATAAGGAGAAGGAAGAGAGAAAGAGGAAGGAGAAAAAAGAGGGGAGCCCCAACCTGCCACTGCCACCACTGAGGAGGAGGTAGGAGAGCACCAGGAGGGCAAGGACACATGGCCGAGCCCAGGCCTGACCTGAGCCTACTCCACGGCAGCTAGCCGGGGCCCAGAGAGCAGGCCATGAGACAGAGACCAGAGAAGAAAAGATAGTACTTCTTAATTTTTTTAAAAAAATAACCTTTTTTAAGAACTTTTTTTTTCTCTTTTCAAAAAAAAAGTGTCCCCGGATTCTTTGGGAAAAAAATCTGGTGACCAGGGGTCAGCAAACCTTTTCAGCAGGCAGCCGGTCCACTTTTTCTCAGACTATATTTTGGGGGAAAGAAGAAAATAATAAATTCCTTTGCCCCACAAATAACCCAGAGATGCATTTTAAATAAAAGGACACATTCTACTCATGTAAAATATGCTCATTCCCAGACCATCTGCAGGCCAGATTTAGAAGGCGATTGGGCCGGATCTGGCACCCGGGCGTTAGGTTGCCTACCCATGTTCTAGACCCTCCACCCAAAGCACAATTCCCTGTATACACCAGTGGCAGAACATATGCCCACACTGCCCAGGGCGCACACGCCACATTTCAGGGTAGGAAAGGCACGGGGAACCTGCCACCCACTCTCCTCTTGCTCTCCTCCCCCAGGTCAGCCCTGACCCAGGGGCAGAACTGTGCCAGGCACAAGCCGTGCAGCTCCTTGCGCAGAGCCAGGCTCTGATAAAGGAGTCAGCTGTGGGGGAGCCTGTTTGCGCCCCTTCGCAAAATTGTGCTCGGGGCCACGGACACCCACCCCCCGCCCACGCTACGTCTCTGGCATGCACCCATTCACCCTCTCGTGGTAACAGCTTTCAAAGTGGTTTGGGGTCCGCAACTGTTAAACTCTGCGCTTTATTCAAACTGAAACCACACACCAGACTTTACAGATAGAGGGTTATTCAGAGTTTGGTTAAATGTTCCTCAGGTATGATCAAAGCCTGTGAGTGATAACTTGCTTGCTTGGAAGCAAAAGGGTATTTAGAGACAAGTATATGTGACCCAGGGATGTGGATGCAAGTCATCCATTTAAGCTTCTAAATTGGCAATGCTCTTCAAAAACGCCAGGGATGGACAAATTAACACAAACTGTACCACAAATATACATACATACATACAGCAATTGCATTGGTTGGCAAAATTGGACTTTTATTATTATTTTTTATTCCAAATTATAGCAAGACATATTATCCAAAAACGTATCATCCTTATTTCCCCCCCCCCATTTTTCCTCCCTCCCCCTCCCCCCTCCCAAACAGAACCCACCCACCCCGACTTCCCTCAGTTCCAGTCTTTGGTTTCTCTAATAATGCTGCATGTTACAAAGTTGCATAGATCCTCAAACTGTTTAGCTGATTATTATCAATAAAAAAATTGTGAATGTTTATTCAAAACCTGCCAAGCTGTCCAGTTCACTTTGTTGGGTCTTCAGATACTTTGTAAAAGGTTCCCATTCATCCTTAAAGTCACAGTTATGCTTGTCCCATAGCTTATATGTCAGTTTTGCCAGTTCTGCATAGTCCATCAATTTTTCTTGCCATGATTCTTTAGTTGGGGTTTCTTCAGTCTTCCATCCTTGTGCTACCAGAACTCTCGCGGCCATTGTCACATACATGAAAATGTTTTTCCAACTTTTTTGGCAGGTCTTTCCCTACAATCCCCAACAAAAATGCCTCGGGTTTTTTAACAAATGTTAAATGGAGCATTTTCTTCAATTCGTTGTATATCATTTCCCAAATTTTTTTAATTGCCTTACAATCCCACCACATATGATAAAATGTTCCCTCCTTTCCCTTACACTTCCAACATATATTTGAACTAGTTTTGTACATTTTCCTTAACTGTACTGGTGTTGTGTACCATCTGTACATCATCTTCATGTAATTTTCCTTCAATAGGGAACAATCTGTAAATTTTAAGTCAGTTTTCCATAATTTAACCCAATCTTCCATCATAATGTTGTGACCTACATCTTGTGCCCATTTAACCATAACTGATTTTACCTCTTCATCTTTTGTCTCCCATTCTAATAGTATGCTGTATGCGGCCTTCAGTAGTTTCACTTTCCCTTCAATCACTTCTGTTTGAAACCTAGATCTAGTATAGCTAAATCCTTTCTTGCTGCCTTCTTTATGTGATTCATATAGTTGTCGATAATAATAATAATAATAAGAATTTATTATTTATACCCCACCCATCTGGCTGGGCTTCTCAGCCACTCTGGGTGGCTTCCAAAAAAAAAATTAAAATACTCTAATACGTAATGCAACCAACTCTGAAAGTGGTTGTCAGGGAACTGCCATCAGAAGGACAGGAGGTGGAAGGGCTCCCTGAGGTTGAGACAAACTTAGCAGCTGAAGAGGGAACCAGCAGGGGGAGAGGAGGGGCTCCAGGGGAAAGTGAGTCGGAGGGATGGCTCAGAGACACTTCCAGCGAAAACAGTGGGGAGGTTTCAAGACCTCCTATAGGGACACCCACTCCTCGCCGGAAACTGTCACGCCGAGAGTCCAGAAGACGTGTTTCCGTTAAGGAGCTTTTATGCTGGAAGAGATTCCGTAAGAGACCACTTTCGGATTCTGCTAGCGACTGACGGAGCCATGCTGGAGGGGCTCCGTCGTAGGCAGAGGTTTGAGGACTTGACCAAACTCTGAGGGACTTGCATTTTACGCACAAGCAGCTCATCATCCCATTACAGTGGTCTTTGATCTCATCATAATCTCTTAATTTCCATTTTCCATCATGTTCCTTTAATAAATCAGCATATGTGAGCCATTTTCCTTTCTTTCCAAGTGATTTGAGCAGTAATGCTTCATGTGGTGAGAGCCACACTGGACTTTTAGAAGGCCAAATTGGACTTTTAGAAGGAGTGCTTGTATGAACAAAAAACAACTCTCATGCAGTTAAGGGTAATTTTTAATTTACCTTTATATACATCCTAAACACAGTATTGATTCATAAAAGAATGAATCAACAACAAGTGTCTTAGTTTAGCAGCAGCGTTTCATTGGATAACAATGAAAAATCTATACACTGAGACCATGATGCAATCTTATCATGATCCCCAATAAAGTGTTTTATTCATCTGAATCCAGATCACTATCTCCTGCAATGGAAGGGAGGTCGTCACTTTCTTCCTCGTCCTCGTGGCTACTGGAAAAGAAAGAAATCTCATGATGCTGTTGTTATTTATCATGTGTACTGAGCGTGGGAAAAACTTAGAAAGATGATAGACCGATGCTAGCTGTTGTTGATATACAAATTTACAGCAACACAAGTGTGAGATGCAGCTGGGCAGGTCATCTTCCTAATCCAATTATAACAGCTAAGGGAGTCAAACAAAGTTGCATATTGGCCCCCTTTTTGTTTAACATTTATTCCCTTAGTAAACATCTTCGAGGGACAGATATACATGGCCCAAAAGGCAGATAAAATGTTGCCTCTCCTGCTTTATGCAGATAATGCTGTCATCCTGTTTCAGACACAAATTGGCCTTAAGACTGCTCTTAAGAAACTAGTCCAACACTGTATGGAGGATCAATTAGCAGTAAACTACCAAAAAACAAAAGTCATGGTTTTCTCCAATAGAAGGAAAACCTACAGATGGTGCATAGATAACCAAGACATTGAACAAGTCACCTGTTTCAAATATCTAGGGGTTGTATTTCAAGCTTCAAGAAAGAAAACTGCCCATATTAATCACACTTCCTCTATGGCCCAAAAAAGTACTGCAGCAATCTTAACATTCCATTGAGCAAAGGGAGGAAATTTTTATTCCAGCTGCTATCAAACTATTTGCTGCAAAATCCATAGCGTGCACAACTAGTCCCCCTCTCTAATCTGGACCCCTATGAAAAACTAAAACCAGGATTCCCAAGGTCAATTCTCCAAATCCCTAAATGTGTCCCCAATGCAGCCCTGTAGACTGGAGATGGGCCTAAATAGGACTGAAGCCGAAGTGTGGCTAGTTACTCTGTACACATGGCTAAGACTTAATAAGACCTCAACTGGGCTGCTCTCTTTGACATTGATTGATAATTATCAAATAAAATAGTGGAAGGGCATCACAAGAAAACTGGCTTTATATGGCCTTTCTCCTGAATATATTTTAGGTCTGGAAATGGGAAGAAGTATAATTAAAGAACGAATCTGGGACAGAGAATTCCAAAATTTGTAAATTTTTACCCAAACTTCAAAGATCCTATCCAGCAAATTATTTAAGTGCACTGGACAACTCTAAACACTGTTGGGCATTCTCCAGAACCTGCTTTAATGTTCTCCTTTCAGCATCATTAGCGGGCAGATATCATGACATCCCAGTCCAACAGAGATTATACCCATGCAATTCTGACGAGATTGAATCCACTGGGCCCATTCTTCTATATTGTCCACTGTATCATGATACCCAAAGAGAGCTAATTCAACGGTTACTAAGGAAATTACCTGGCTGCTCAGAGGAAACCTATGTTAAATATCTTCTTGCTGACAAAAGATCCGAATATCACCAGGCCTGTCGTGAAATTCTGTTTTATGGCAACAAGGACAAGATAGGCTGCAGTGACAGTGATAGTCGATGAATGAGTACTGATTTTAAACTCTGGAACATAGGTTTTGGCTGAAGGAGTGCTATTTTAAATGCAAATAAGCTTATAGGGAATTTTCAAGGGGCAGACGCAGTAGACAAAATTGTTCCTGTTGTTAATTCTGCTGTCTGGACTTTGACCTCAATAAAGAAAATAAGTTCATGTGTACTGAGCACTGTACAGAAGAGAAACAATATAGTGAAGGAAAACACGAAAGTGTGACACATTGCAAATGCAGAGGAGCATTCACTTGGTCCTCTGAACATTTTTATCACCACAAGTGCATGGTTTCTGATTTGTTAGGAATGTAAGAAGAGCCTGGCTGCCAGATCTAGTCCAGCATCCTGTTCACACGGTGGCCAAACAGATGCCTATGGGAAGCCCGCAAGCAGAACATGAGCACAACAGCAATGCTCTTCCCAACTCCAATTCCCAGCAACTGGCATTCGGTAATGCCTCTTACCCTTGTGGCAAGTAGCCATGGATAGACTTTTTCTCCATGAATCTGTCTGATCTTTGAACACCATCCAAGTGATCTCATTTGCGCAGTCATCCTTCAAGGTGTGCATCTGGTGCAGCAATACCACCGCAACCCTGCCACTCAAGACTGCTCCCATCAGAGGCAAGATTGCTGTGTGGAAGGTGGTTATGGAAGCATTGCAGGCAGAATCAGATGCAAATGGTGTTAAGAGACTGGACATTTTAGCATCAGAATGAACCTTTCATGAGCAGTGCTCCAAGGCAACTGCATAGGTTTAATCCTGCATGGCAACATCATAGAATCATGGAGCTGCATTGTTGGAAGGGACCCCAAGGCTCATCTAGTCCAAACCCCTGCAATGCAGGAATAATATTATTACTCCCCTCATGAGATGAATGTGTGCTGCCGCACTTTCTATTTTTCTGTATGTTCAAGAACTAATCCACGTAAATGTTTAAAGAATAGGGAAGACTAATCCTGCTCATGACTGCTTATGAATCACATCTACAAAGAAGCCAGGATTGGCTCATGGGGGTTACTACTAAAGTTGTGATAGCATGTTTTTGTTTGGTGACTGATGGCATTGCAGCAATTGAGAAATGAATTGTTTAAATTGTTTTAGTTGCTGTGCTTTATGTTAATTTTAGATGTTTGTTGTTGTTTTCTGCTGGGCTTTTTCTTGCTGTGTGAGTTCCCTCCCCAACCCCCACTTTGGATTTAGAGTTTCAAGGTGTACTGCATTTCACATTTTCTTGTATGAGCAGACTGCCCAGAGAACTTGGTTGGATGGGTGGTATGAAAGTGTAACCACTTAACAGAAGAGCAGTAAAGAACAGGGAGGCCCACAACTCAAAGGCAACTCATAAGAGTCATCTGAACTGAGCGCAGCCAACCTGCTTTTGAGACAACCAAACACTCCTTAATGGCTCCAACAGCACACTTGTCTATGGTTACCTGGCACTGCTATACTCCATGGCATGTGAAATCTTCCCTGCTGCCTCATACGACATCATGCTGTCTTTGTTGTCTTTGTCTATTTGCACATTCTCTTGAAGAACACAAGGCTGTCTCGGTCTCACTGCAGAGGATCCTGCACCTGAATCTCTGCTACTTTCACTTTGCTGGATTGCTGCACAACAGGACAGAAAATGGGTAGCCATAATAAAGTTACCCAAGCCTGTTTTATCCCCCAGGTCACCTGCAAATGGCTCCAAGGATATTGCTCTCCTTTGAGTAGTTTTGTCATCCTTCAGAAGGTGGCTAAGTTGCAGTTCAAATAAGAACCTCAAAAGCATTTTGCATTTGAACAAAGTCAGCCACTGGAAAAGTTAGTGCCATATGATAAACTAGACTAGAGGAACCTTTTTCAGTCTGGGGTCCCCCATTCTCACATGGAATCTTCCATTCATGTGTACTATATTTCCGCCATCCTCAGCTTTCCTTTCTCAGCATTTAACAGCTAGGCATCTCCGATAATCATTTGCTCTACTGCAGAGGCAGTAAACTTTTAAGTCAAAAGTTTGATTCCCCTGAGAGAAACTGGTGCGGAAGAGTCTACTGACAATGGGGAGGAGCCAAAGCTGAAATCGGAAGAGTCTTCATCTGCATGCTCTCCCCTGCTTCCAATCATTCACACATCCCTATGGCCCCTTGAATACTTATTCTCCCCATCCACACATAGTCATTTCAGTCACCATTCATCTTATCTCTACCCTCCCCATCCCCACTGCATGACAATTGGTCTTAGAAAAAAAATGTCACAAATGGGACCCTTTTTTTAAGCCAAGTTGTCATGCAGGGAGCACAATTTTTAGGCTCTGCAGCATGTGGAGATGGGAGCATTACTCCACCCCTCCTTACATTCTAGCCCCCACCCCAAAGAAGCCCCCCCCCATGTGTTCTAGAGTGGTTTTCCCCTAATCCTGCATTAGGGCGAGAGGGCTGCTACCCCCTACTGCCAAAGAAAAAAACCTCTACCCCATCAGCATAGCAATTAGGCTTAGAGGGGGAGAGGTTAATAACCACACAGGGGTACAGAAGAGGAGATGGGGAGTGGGCAGATCCAAAAGGCTCTGTGGATTGGCTAGGAACATCTTGCCCCTGGTTTAAGCAAGCTAGGAAGAGAAAATAAGTGAGGAGTCTTGGCTTAAGATGCTTCCTCACTAACCACAAACTTCAACCAAGGACAAACTCTGGCAACAGCTTGTGGTCAGTTTGCATAGTCCTAGTAAGCCACAGCAACTGAAAGGAATGTACATTTGCCTGAATTCACAAGCGTTTGCTTCTTGCTAATAGCCAAAGGACCACAGCACAATGGCAGAGCACCTGCTTTGCACGCAGAAGGTCCCAGGTCCAATCCCTGGCTGATCTGGAGCCCTTGAAACCACTGCCAGCCAGTGTAGGCAACCATGAGTTAGATGGAGCAATGGTTTAACTCAGCGCAAGGCAGTTTGCTATGTAAAGAGTGAAAACTTACGTGTGAAAGTGTCATCGTCTTCCTTGCCACTGCTGTCACTCTCCTCGTTATCTGACAGGGTCAAGTCTTCATAATGCATGCTGGCCTGAGGCTGCTGCACTGAACCTTCTTCCTTTTCACCCAAGTCTCTGTTTTCACCTTCCACTTTCTGTCATGATGGAACAACCAATGGTAGAAAGGAGGTTGCAGAGAATTTCCTGGCACATGCAGAAGGTAGCTAGCTAGCTGCTCTCTAAAAATGGCCCTGGCAAACTGAAGTGGTTTCAGAAATAAACCCAAGTGCCTGCATCACCAGCCGCTCTAGTACTTGCTTCTGCAGTATTTTGCAGCAAGCAGATGATTTGCAACCACCTTGCACACAAGGTTGCTCTACTCATCTATACTCACAACAACCTTGCAGAGTGAGTGAGGCAGAGCCAATGATTTGCCCAAAGTCAGTGGGAATCTGAGCCTCCAGCAGTGAATAAAATAATGAAACATCACATGATGTTAAAAGCTGTGGAACAGAACACTTCTGTTATGGGCAAGACGGTTTGAGCACATAATGCCAATCCTGGCCCACAGCACCGGCTGCCAATTAGTTTCCAGACCCAATTCAAAGTGCTGATTTTAAAAAGGAACAGGTACCAGGTGATAGGGAAACCTCCTCCTTGTCTAAGCCACTGGAGAGAATCAGAGTAGGCAATGCTGCCTGCTAAAGTAGCCAGGAAGGGCCTAGCTGACCAATGGGCTCTTTCCCAGCCAGATGGTCTCCCAGTGCTACTAGGCCCAGCATGGAGGTGTGGCTCAGAAATCTAATAAAGCAGAACAACATAGGCAGGGTTGAGTCAGAAAGAAGCACATACATTATCCCTGCTGCAGCCACCACCCCAAACTGCAGCCACAGGCCTTGATGCCAGAAGAGGGTCCCTGAAAAGAGAGCTTTGGCAAGAAGCCTCACCTGGGGCATACAGGGCTGAGAGATGGTTGGGCCAAAGCTCTCCAGGTCTGCCTCCTCTAAGACTGCTTTGTTAACAGCAGAGATATCCTTCTCAAGCTGGGTCAAGTGCTCATCATACTGAAGAAGCAGAAAGACAGAGAAAGTAAGTGTTTGCTGAAGAATTGAAAACGGTCCTTGGCAGCATTGGCTTGCTGGGCCACCTACCTCTCCTAGTGCCTTGTAACAGATGTCCACCATCTCTTGAGCTGTTTTTGTGTTCTGGCTGTCAGGACCTGAATTGGAAATACAAACAAACAAACCACATCTCCTTAATGCTGCTCCTTAAGACCTGAGCACACAAGAAAGCCACAGGAATAAGCAACCCACTTCCAAGTGGTCATCTTCAGGGCCAAGGTCCATGCTTCCTTGTGATATGCACCCAGAGCTTTCCAAAGCTTTGCCAAGTTCACTGGTGGCAACCAAATGTGGTATTCTTCAAAGGCTCTCGTCCCTGCAGAACTCCTTAAGGTTTCCCTTAAGCTCTGACCATGTAAGACTCCTGAACCTCCCCTCCCCCAAGCACATTTTAAGAGGCCCTGAGATTTAATCAAAACCAATACTCTAGTCCATGAGCAGGTAATCTTTCAAGGCCTGTCTGCCAATTCCCGCTCCCCAGGACCATATGCCTGCAGTGGAAGTGAGCATTGCACACTCTCAACATGCACACCAGACATTCAGCCCCTCCTCAGCTAATCAACACAAACCAGCTAGCTTGAGGAGAGGAACCCCCCCCCTTTCCACCCAATCAAATGATCTATCTGATAATGTGGGAGAGAGTAGGTTGCATGTCCACCAAGGAGCTGGACTCAGTGGAGAGAATTAAAAGCTCTCTGGCTTTCTCAGCGCGGTGACTGCCCCTTTGCTACCAAAATTGGTGGGATCTTGGGGGACAGAAAAAATTACTGGGTGGGGAGGACAGATTAGAAGCCCCAGGCTGGGGATTAACCAGCCCTCCTCTATTCTGTTCATGCCTGCTCACAAAGCAGTATTGGACCCCAAGAGCTGAAGAAGCTTAACAGAAAAGTCCCCAGAAGAAGCAATTTTCATCAAGGGAACTAGCCACATTTTGGAAAAGCATACATTAATGTCTTAATGAGTAGATGTGAAGTCACATTCAGGTCTTGCCCTTATTGCTGGCATCTGTCTGTCTCAAGAGACGATGGGGTGTGCCTCCGGGGATAAAGATAAACTGCTTCATTAGCAGCATCAAAGTGACCTCCCTGGAGAGCAAGCCTGGGCAGTGTGTCTGGAGGTCCTGGGCTACCCAGTTGGCAAGACCCCTCTCTCAGCCTCGCTGATGTGGTCCAAAGGAAAGCAGAGCAAGATGTTTGGCACCAGCTGGGCTGCAGGAGTTGCCAGAAGGAGGCTTACAAGATGCCATCTAACTGCCATCCAGATTTGTGTAGGGTTTACTCCTTAGCCTTTTCTTCTTGCAAAGGTGCCCCACAAAGCCCTGATAACTCTCTGTAAATGTGAGTCAAAGGGCTGCAGACATGGCAAGGAGCCAAGAGGGTCTCTTACCATTGTATTTAATGCTGTTGGCAAGGATCAGTTTCACGTCATCCATAAAGACTTCTCGGTTCTGGTATTTATGTCTGGAGATGTTCTAGAATGAATGAATAGGAGACAAGATGGGAATGTGAAGCCTTAAATATGAATTCTTGATTCTGGCATACAAAAAGTCTGAAGTGGATCCTTTACGAGGACCCTTTCTTCTTTACACTTCACTAATATTTTGGAGTGTCCTGGTGATTCCTTTCACATATAGAACTGCTTCTCCCCATCACAACCTCCCTGATTGCTCAACATGACCCAAGCCAGAATTACAAAATACAGCACATGTCTTTGAGTTATTTATTTTCCCCATGACTTTTTGGCCTCCAAGGCAGCAGCTGGTGGCTGAGATTAGGCAAGCAGAATTTCTTCACCCTCAGCCCACATTTCCATATTCCAATTCTATTCCTGGTATTTTATCTGGGATTTAACATGCTGCCATCAACCTTGGGCCTTTTCTGCCAAGGCTTCTTCTATTTCATTTAACTAAATGTATACATTGCCTGATTGTAAGAAAACCTTGAAGCAGTTTACAAAAGACAGTTCTGAGAAGCTGCAACATAAACCAACAACAGCTGCACCCTTCAAAGTTTGCACCTTGCTGATAGTCCTCAGGTCCATCGGGCTGACAATGACTTTGTAATATTTTGGCACGCGTCTCCTGTTTACAGGACGGAAAAAGAGCCTGGCCTGCAAGCAAAAAGAGGGTAAAAAGATAATGAGCAAGCAAGTCTTGCACGGTGAATTGCATGCTGGATCCAGTATCTGCATAAGACACTGAAAAGCTTTTGTACAACATCAAGCTGAATCTAGAGGGAACATCCCATTATCTGCCAACAAATCCTAAGTCCTCTGGAGGTGCCTGGATTCTACTATAGCATTTTTGTCAAACCCAAAGTAAGGTACTCCAGAGCCAGATAATTTTGGAGCTGTGCAGCATCAGCATTTGTTAAATGCAGTGCTGCTCAAATACAGCTCAGGAAGCATATACAGTGGTACCTTGGGTTACAGGCGCTTCAGGTTACAGACTCCGCTAACCTGGAAGTAGTACCTCGGGTTAAGAACTTTGCTTCAGGATGAGAACAGAAATCGCACAGCGGCAGCGGGAGGCCCCATTAGCTACAGTGGTACCTCAGGTTAAGAACGGTTTCAGGTTAAGAACGGACCTCCAGAACTAATTAAGTTCTTAACCCGAGGTACCACTGTAGTCCCACCATCCTGCTTGCACAGCAGCCAAGTGGAGGCCAGTGGAAGGCCCCAAAGGAAGACATGAGTGTAACAGAAACTATCCCCACTTGTGATTCCCAGCAACTGGTATTTAGAAGTGGAGGTAGAACATAGTCATCGTGGCTAGAAGTCACTGATAGCTTTGTCCTCCAAGCACAAGGCTACTGTGACGGTCCCCTTTTCCACAAGCTCTTTTCCATCGCCACCAATTGCTAAGGGCAGACATACATGAGGAACAGCCTTTATCTTCTGGGATACAATCTTGTCCAGAATATAGGAGAAGGTCGCTTGATGAACATCATCCAGAAGGCGATTAATTGCCTTTTCCAAACGAGCCAGTTTATCTTCCTTCTGAAAGGACACCGAGGTACACAAACACACTCAGATCCAGAGCAACTCCTTTATAGCAACCCACTTTTTGCTGAACACTGCTCAATGGCAGAGCACCTGCTTTGCATGCAGAAGGTCCTGGGTTCAATCCTTGGCATTTCCAGGTAGAGCTGTGAATGCTTCCTACCCGATACCCTGGAGAGCTAAATGAGTTAAGATGGAACAATGGCCTGCCTCAGTATGGGGTGGTTTTCTATGTGCCTACTGTATTTTTATTGCTTATGTAATTTCAAAAATATATTTCAACATCTTCTGTTCCTATCCAATTACCGGTAGTTCAGGTTTTAAAACAGAAGGCATTCACACATATCCCATCTTTATTCATAAGGAAAGTCAGCTACAACTCAAAATCTCCATCAATTTGGGCTGGTTTTCTCACATGTAACATGGCCCATAAAAGAAGCTTATTGTTCACATTCTCTCAGTTACCTGGAACTGTCTTTTTTCATTTTCACTAATACCACTATTATTAAAAAGCACTACATTCCAGTTTTAAAAATTTTTATAGTTAAAATAAGCTGTAGACAAACAAGATCATGTTTTACCATTAAATAAATTGGTGTCCTTTTTGGAGAAATGTTTTTTTTCAACAACCAAAAGTTTTGTTGTTTGTGTTCATATTTTGTGTGTGATTCTGATTCTGTCCTTCCAGCAATAAGTTTTGTTTAATTAGATAATGACCATGGAATCTTTCTCACCCACAGCTAATACAACATTCACAATCTGTTTGGAAATCTATGCTGCACTTTCAAATTCAGTAACTTTCAGTTAAAATCCAGAAACCAAAATTAGTATTGGATAGTAAAGTCACCATTCGAACTCTACCACTAAAAACTATTAAATCAAGAGAGCAGGTCCTATGCTCAGCTCCTAATGCAAGCATCCAACAAACCACTCTGGCTGCCTTTAGTCCTTTCAAGAGAGATCTCCCTTCAGTCCAGAATCACCAAACTGTTTATGCAAACAGCTCAGCCCTAAAAGTACCCTAAGTGGCTAAGCAACGCCCTTACCTCCAAGCCACAAGCAACCCCTCCCTCCACAATCTGACTTGCCTCTTTCAATTTTTGATCACCGAAGTCCAGCATTGACTGAGCAATCTGAGTCAACTTGTGCTCTGGCCCTGCAAACACAACAGCAGAAACCTTTATTGTGGGATGGTGTTGTTGTGAGCTGTCTTGACAAAAGGCAAGTTACACATTTAAGATTACATGTGGTTAAGTTGGTCCTGTTCCCCAGTGGTATGGAGAGCTAACTTGGAGACTCATCAGAAGTCTCAGAGAGCACACACTTGATTTTACATCCAACTGGTGTCCTCCAGATGTTTTAGACAGAAATTCCCATCAGCCCAAGTCAACAAAGTCACACTGAAGTTGCAGTCCAAAACATCTGATGGGCATCAGATTGGCAAAGGCTGCTCCACGGTGTGACGGCAATTGAGAAGCAGCCAGCAAAGCAATGCTTTTATTTTGCTCCATTCCCACTGTCCCCAAGCTGCTGGGAGATCATGGCCCCAGAGGAAAGGAGCAGGTATCACAACTCTTCCTTGGTAGTCCAGAAGGACTAGTTCTAACTGAAATCACTCAAGATAGATGAGGTTTTTTCTTAGCAGGTCCAGTTGAGAAATCAGACAAGGGAAAGAGAAGCAGTCACACTGAGAGCAAAAGAAACCAGGAAATTACAAAGGGGAGCATGCAGGCAACTTACAAATATATAAGGCCATCCGTCAGAGAAATAACTGGACACCTAGTGAAGACAGGACGATCACCAGAGGGTTTAAAGAAGAAAGTAGGCCACAGTGTAAAGTAGGTGAGCATCAGAAGGAAATTCCCCAGCACAAGGTAGCCTTACAGAGCTATGCAGAGATGGCGAAACTTACTGGAAGAATAAAAGATCAAGATGAGAGACCTTTTTTTTAACAGAATGGGGGTAGATTGTTGAATATATGAAGACAAATTGTAAACAATTAAAAACTTCAGCAGGGTTGATGTAAACACGAGCAGTAAAAAATAACTTATAGAGAGGAAAAAGATAAAATTTATAAATAGGCTGGAATTGGTTATGCAGTAAGTCTGTGACACGAAATAAGGAGCAGTAGAGAGGAGGGGAGGGAAGTCGAAGAAAACGTTGATTTTTGTTTATGTTTAACTTTTTTTGTTAGAAACATTGTAAAATGAAAAATTGGAAAAATAAAATATTGGAGGTTTTGTTTTTTTAAAAAGATCAATACTTAAAAGCCGCCCTTTGCCTAGCCCATTCCTCCTCTTCCCTTAACATCCTCAGAAAGAGCACCAGGTCACTGCCCCAGTTGCCGTAACCTGTTTTTTGAGGCTGGGACACTTTGCACAAGGAGGGAAGAAAGAGCAGAAGAGAAACAGTTCAGAAAGAAAGAAAGAAAACTCTCACCATTGAACGTGGCACTGTTCTTCACAATCAGCTCCAGGTGCTCTCGGAATTCTTTGCTCGATTTGTAAGAGAGCTTACGGACATTCTGGCGCAGGGTGTACAGATCCATTGGTCGGCTGATGATCTTGCGATAATTTCTGACACCCCTCCTGCTAACAGGCTTGTGGAAGTAACATGTCTGGCAGAGGTAAACCGGGAAAGAATGTGAGCATCCCTTTTATTTCTTTATATACCACCCTCCCTTAAGTTACCAGGGATGGATACAACAACATGAAAAAAAACATTTTTTTAAGACAAACAAACAAACAAACCCAGATAAAGCCATTTCTTTGTTCACCTGCCAAGGAGAGAGGGCAGATAATGAAACCCGTCTCCCTCAAAAGGGCCACTGGAGCCATTTCAAGGAAGGGGAGTCCACAACCTCTCGAGGGAGTCTGTTCCACTGTCAAGTAGCTCTTGACTGTCAGAAAGTCTTCTGGTATATTTAGTCAGAATCTCCTTTCCTGCAACTTGAAGCCATTGGTTCAAGCCTTGCCTTCCAGAGCAAGAGAAAACAAGCTTGTACCCTCCTCCATGTGACAGCCCTTCAGATATCTCCTCTCAGTCTCCTCTTTTCCAGGCTAAACATGCCCAACTCCTGTTAGTATTTCATTCAGCCGATGCTGCAAAACGTGACTGGTGTAAATCACACGCCTGTCTGAGAAGACTGTGGAAACGGAAGACAGCCTGACCTCTCTTCCGTTGTATGTACTTTGTAATGTACTTTCACAATTAATATTTTAATGTTTCAATATTTTAATGTTGTATTTTAATTTTGTTTTTAAGTTGTAATCATTCAACTTGTTTTTATTATTGCTTGTAAGCCGCTCTGAGCCTGGCTTTGGCTGGGGAGGGTGGGCAGGGTATAAATAAAAATTATTATTATTATTATTATTATTATTATTATTTTGGTTGTTCTCTCGGAGCTGAAGAGAATGGTCACCATTATATTGTAGTCTGTATATAGTATGTAAATAAATAGTAGCTTAGATCTACAATGTCTCACTCTTCTTGTTGTGCTATGCCAGAAGATTAGTGTGCATATATCAAGCTGATATATGTCACTGAGCGCCCTGGAGAGGAAGGGAGATGCCTTTTCCAGTGCTGCGCACACTGGAGGATGTTCGGAGTTCCGGGGGTTAGCAGGTGACCCCAGCCGCACTGGACCAGGCCCATCTTTTTAGGCAACTGTGGTGTGCTTGCTGCAGGAAGGCAGGATATAAAGCATTATGTTTCCCCCTATGCTCAGCCAGGAAGGCAACTGGCGTCCAGAGGTAGACTTAACCACCTCCTCTTTAATTATTATTATTATTATTGCATTTATACACCACCTTTTTGCCAAGGCATCCAAGGCGGCCCAGGGTTTAAAATATGAACGCAGTTAACACCAACAAATGGCACAAAATATTATCAGGCCAATTTCAGGGGCTGATGGCACTAGCTCCCTGGCCTGGGCTTCTCCTCTTCTGGCCTGATTTGCAGCCACTGATTGACCTCTCTCCCTTTTCCTCCATGAGAATTTTTCTGATCCCCTTTGAAAGCTGCTGACACCAATAATACATTTCAATGTATGATTCTGATACACAGCACTTTTCATACACCCCACTAAACAGAATGTGAGCTGTCGAAGACTGAGCCCACAACTCACGGAGTAGAGTTTGGCAGGAGGTGGGGAGGCAACATCCTCGAAATAGCAGAAAGATTGCCCTCAAATGCTCAATGCTGATATGAGACAAGAATTTCTCAAGGAACTAGCTTTCCTGATATATGGATAGGATAATGCCCCCTTGTCTTTGCACATGACATAGAGCCAGAAGAGGCAAAATCAAACCTCACAGGTGAAAAGGTCTTACATTTGGAAGTTCTTGCATTTCGTTGATAATGCCTTCCAGGATATAAGACAGTATCTCTATGGGGGGGGTGCTCCCCTGGTGGCTGGACTTCTGAGGCTGCTGAAAGAGAGAGAAGTGGGACGTTAAAGGCACTTCCAAAGTTTATGTATGATGGACTTTTGGGGATCTTGAGAAAGGGCACCTCAAAGCATCTAATTGGTCTCTACTTTTTTGGGGAGGAGTTGCCCTTTGGCTGTTCCTGGTCTATAGTGAACCAGCCCTGGCTGAGGCTTAGAATAAGCACTTGCTGTTGCCACCACTTCCAAGATGGAGTGGGCAAGGGCAAGGGGTGGGGTGGGGGCAATGAAAGCAACACAAGGACTCACGTTTAAGGAGCTACAAGCAGCCGTGGTTCCAGAGCCCTGTTCCTTCTTTTGCAGAAGCTGTTCTTTTGTGAACCTCAGGACTAAAGACTTCTTGCGAACTTCATTCGCGCTGCAAGGAGAGGGAGGAGAAACACGCTGCAGTTTCCACCACCTCTCCCTCCAGTGGGCCCAGCTGCCCCTCTGGGAGGGACTGATTAAACCATAAAGAGCACAATATGAAGCCCATTTGCTCTTTTATTGGGTCTAGTCTGGGGTAACTGGAGCTGTAAGTTGAAGAACTTTAACCCCATCAGCCCACACAGCAGCCTGCTGCTTCATTTAGATTCAGTGGTACTACCTGTCCTACACTGTACACCAGACAGTTGCTGCTCCTGTGGATAATAGTAAATGGTATTTAGCAACTTGTTATGAACTGTTGTGTTCTTATTTTTTAAGGCTTGTGTGATTTTACGGTGTTATGGGTTTATTTGATCTTCCTGTAAAATTCATTGTGGCTTGTGCAATGGCTGGTATATAAACCAATGACTTGAAACCGTCTTGGTTGCGGGACCTCTTTTTGGGAACAGCCTCACCAAGCACATCAAAGAGGCATCTTTGCTGATGTAAGCACTTTAGGTAAAAATGTTTCTTTTCTGCAAGGTTTTTGGCTGATGGGACCATGCAATTGTGTCGTTCTTTATCTCCTTGACATCTGTTGGGAGGGCATTCCACAGGGTGGGCACCACTGTCAAGAATGGTTCCCTTCTTGTAGTGAGGGAACCAGCAGAAGACCCTCAAAGCTGGACCTCAGTGTCAGATCTGACGATGGGGATAGAGACGCCCCTTCAGGTATACTGGACCGAGGCCTGTATACCTTTAGGGCTTTAAAGGTCAGCACCAACACTTTGAATTGTGCTCAGAAATGCACTAGGAGCCAGTATAGATTGTTTAGGACTGGTGTTACATGGTCCCGGCAGCCACTCCCAGTCACCAATCTACTGCTGCATTCTGATTAGTTGTGGTTTCTGAGTCACCTTCAAAGGTAGTCCTGCACAGACCTATGCCAGTCTGTGAGAAAGACTGGAGCATTGGGCACTTACTACCAGATATGTGTGGGAGTCATCCAGAAGACAATCAGTTAATACAGGTGCTGGATTTTCTCTCCGTTTTGGAATACGTGGCCCTGTCTGGCCCGGGCAATGACAAGGTGTTCACCCACTGCCACATGTGGATGACTTCCACACGTCCACAGGAAGGGATTTCAACTCTTCCACCTTGTTCTGGACTTCTTAATTTAGAGGAAAGTGAGCAAGATATCACATGATGTAAGTTTATAGCATTATGCATGGAATGGGGAAAGTGGATGGGGAAAGTTTCTCTCTCTCTCATAACGCTAGAACTTGTGGCCGTCCAATGACATTTGAATGTTTGGAGATCCAAGACGGATTAAAAATAAGTACTTCTTCATGAAACACATGGTTAAACTGTGGAACTCACTCCCACAGGAGGATGGCCACCATCCTGGATGGCTTTAAAAGTGGACAAATGCAGGAAAGGCAATATTGTCAATGGCAGCAACGTTTCTGAATACCAGTTGCTGGACACCACCGGAGGAAGAGTGCTTTTGTGCTCAGGTCCTTATTGAAGGTTTCCCACAGTCATCTGGGTGCCCACTGTGAGAACAGGATTCTGGACTAGACTGCGATGGGCGTCAACCAGTAGGCTCTTATGATGTTCATAGCCCAGGCAGGACCCCTGCACCTCTATCTGTGAGATGGTGCCAAACACGGCCCTTACCTCTCAACGAGTTGCTTCCCTAAGACAATCTTGGTTCCCTCCACTTTGATCAGCTCACTGTCATCGGTGGGGATGATGGTCTTCTCCAGCTCCTCCTCCTGCTCCACCGTCATGGCGACAGGCTTGGAGGGCAGTTTGGCTGGGCAGATTTTGTTGTTCTTCATGTGCCCACTGGACCCGCAAGCACCACACTTAATCTGCAAGCAAAAGCAAAGGAATGAATGGTTGCAGGCTACTTCAGAAGCACAAAAGCAGAGTTATCGAGGGATAGGCAGTGCTCCCATCAACTGTAACACCAGCACTAGCTGAAGGCAGCAACAAAACCAAGGTGGGGTGGGGTGGGGTGGAGTGGGAGCTTGTGAAAAAGCGCTGGACTTGTTCCCAAGCACTCCCCTGCTGTGTGTACCTTTAAGCAGAAAGGCTGTTTGCACATTTTGAAAATAAAGTCTCAACCCATGCACATACCCACCCAGTGTGCGCCGATGAATCCAATTTCTTTTTTTTAATGGAATTACAAACTTGGTGGATCAGGGAAATGCTGTGGACATGGTGTATCTTGATTTCAGTAAGGCTTTTGACAAAGCCCCCCCAAGATACAGTGGTTACAGACGCTTCAGGTTACAGACTCCGCTAACCCAGAAATAGTACCTCAGGTTAAGAACTTTACTTCAGGATGAGAACAGAAATCATGCGGTGGTGGCGCAGTGGCAGTGGGAGACCCCATTAGCTAAAGTGGTACCTCAGGTTAAGAATAGTTTCAGGTTAAGAATGGACCTCCAGAAGTTCTTAACCCGAGGTACCACTGTATTCTCACGAGGAAGCTGGTAAAATGTGGGCTGAATGAGATATCTGAAATGTTAAAAGTTAAGGTTTCCTCTCCATGCCAAAAATTAGTCAGTGGTAATTGGAGCTGAAGCATATGTTAAATTTTCTTCTTTGTACATCATCTAACTTTCGCTTCATGCATCTGACAAGGGGGGCTTGAGTCCAGGAAATCTTATCCCTTAGTAAATTGTGTTAGCCTTTAAGGTGCCATGGGACTCTTTAAGTATTTCCATTGCATGGCTACCCCTCTGGGTTTTGTTTTGCTTTTTCTGGATTTTGCTACAATGCAATCTGGATTCATCAAAATCTGTTTCAAAAAAGAAAGCTCCATTAGCTGGGCTGCATGACTCCTTCCACTAGACTTGGGGGAAGAGCAAGTAAAGCCCTCTGCTTTGGTTTCTGTGGTGCTGCGCAGCACACTGGCATATGTCTCTTCACAGATACAAGACCATTACTTCTTTATTTATAGTAACACTGCAAGAAAAGGAGCCAGAAGCAGCTGAAGCTGTCAAGAAAGCCTGCTTACCTTCTCCAACCTGAGCTTCTTCTTGGGAGGAGCCTTCTGCTGCTCCTTCTCTTTCTTTCGTTTAAGCCGCATCAACTTCAACTGAATCTGGCGCTTTTCACACCGCAGCTTCTGACGCTGCTTTTCTGAGATGGCAAACCTCCGGCTGGAAACACAAAGGCCTTCAGTTAAGGCAGTGGTGAGAAACACAATGTTGCAGGACTCCAACTCCCATCAACCCAGACCACTGACTATGCTGTCCAGCACTGATGGGAGCTGTAGTCCAACAACACTCAGAGGACCATATATTTTTCCCATCCCTGGCCTATTGGTACGGCCAGCCAGTAAATATTCAGGCACTGAGATAAACATAAACCACACTGGGGGTCACAGTGGCTCTCTAGATGTTCTAAACTACATCTATCATCATCCCTGACCACTGGCTACACTGACTGGAGCTGATGGGAGCTGAAGTCCAACAACATCTGGAGGGCCACAGGTTCCTCATCCCTGCACTGCAGCATTGGCTGCTTCCTGATTTGATTTACTCTGCCTGACTCCATATGCTGGCTGTGTGTTTTATTTCCTGCTGCATCCTGCTCATATGTTTGTTAGCCTGCTTGCTTTAAATTTCACATAGAAAGAGGCAGAAAGGCAGGGTGTAATTTAAAAAACACACACAATAAAAATATAAACATACTGTGCATTTGCAGCCTTCTGCACCTCTCCTTTCACAAGGAGATTCCCACTCTACCCAAATTAATAATAATAATAATAATAATAATAATAATAATAATAATAATAATAATTTGTATACTGTTAATAATAATAATAATACAATTTGTATAGCACCCTTCATCCATAGATCTCGGGGTGGTTCGCAGCAAAAAAATACATGCTAAAAACACAAAATACATAATAAAAACAAGAAAAGAAAAGAAAACAAGCCAATAACACCCCCTAAGGGAAAGCAGCCTCCCTGCGATGCCCTTACATCAGAGCTTTCCAAATTCTTCCTGCTGGTGACATACATTTTAGACATGCATCATTTCGTGACAAGTCCAGTTTTACTAGCAAACCAGAGGTTAAACTAACCCCTTTCCAGCCCCGGGAGGAGCATGGAGAGTGTTCGCGCAACACACCTACACGCTACAGCCGACCCCTAACGTGTCATGACAGACAGTTTGGAAAGCTCTGCCTTACATGAACTCATCATCCTTGGTTTTCCTTATCTTCATGTAGGCGTTGATGACCAATGGATTGCGGACCGTCTCGCATCTCTCGTACTCCTTCCCGTCCTCATCGCGGAAAGTGCGGAAGATTTTCAAGCAGCGGGGGGCGGAAGTGGTGGCAGGACCAGGGCTGGTCGCAGAAGCCATGCCACTGCTATCGCTTGGCTCTCCTGGGTTGCCAGGGGTGGAGGCTGCAGGGGAAAGCATGGCTGTGTTGTCAAAGGCAGTGAGCTCCCTGGGCAAGAAACAAAATGCCTAGTCTCCAAGATCCTATGGCAAGCTGCAAAGGCAGGTGTTCAGGAGCCTTGGGAGAGGGCGCACACAAAGGAACAGTCATCCACCACTGTACCAAGCAGAATTTTAGGCAATGTGCACCCCAGGCAGCCTCTTCACCAGCTTCTCATGCACATTTCTGTTCTACTCTCCAGCTTCTCTTTCTCTGTAATTACCAAGGCCTAAATGGTCAAGGACCATCACAAGGCCGGCCACCATCTGAATAAGCCCTGCTGACTATCCGATGCTTATCTTTGCTTCATTTCTCTGCAAAACAAGGCTCTTCTCCTAGTAGTGCTTGCAATTTGGAACGTTGTTCCTCCTGAAATCACACAGGCACACCTACAACCCTGATATTTTGCTGCATGTGAATACCCATGTTCTGAGCAAGGGTTTGAACAGCATTAATGTGGTTCATTGTTGATCATTTTTTCTTTATTTTATTATTGTTTTACTATGGTGTATTTTTTAATGAGTTGGCAACTTATAAACATTCTTATAAACGAAAATGAACACATTTTGTGAAATGTTTCATCCTTCTCCTGACCTGTCTGCTAGTTATGCCACTCGTCAATGGCTACTGTTATTATTAATTGTTCTTTCTTTCTTTCTTTCTTTCTTTCTTTCTTTCTCTCTCTCTTTCTCTCTTTCTCTCTTTCCCTCTTTCTTTTTCTCTCTCTCTTTGTCACTTTACCACCACAAGGGTCTCCAGGCAACTTGCAGAAAATACAAAGAAATTTGAAAAATTAGGTGCACTAAACACAATAAAATTATGATTCTACACAGATGCTCAACAATTAAATTATCACCTCCTTCCCCAAGTACATGAGTTATACAAAAACCACCATGCACTAAAAGAGAAAGTTAATAATAAAATGCCTGGGAAATAGAGAGAAGGAGATACTCTTCAGGCACCAGGCCCATTGCAGACCACCTCTGTGCAGCAAGGGGGAGAAATAAAAGAAAGCCATGAAAAACGGGGAGGGAAGTCGACAAAACAAGAGAAAAAATTATTATGTATTGGAGTGTATATGTGAAATTTTTGAAAATTTAATAAAATATATGTTATAAGAAAAAAAACCCTGCTCCTTTTCCCTAACAGGGTACCCAAGAGCCCATGTAGAGAAATTAAATTAAAACCACAGTCCTGCTTAAAGATAAATAATAAATTATGTTTATGTCTATATCTGTATACACACAGACACACACACCAGGACTACAGCTCCCATCATCCCTCACCATAGTCCATGCTGGCTGAGCCTGATGGAAGCTGAAGTTCAACACCACCAGGAGTGCGACGGGTGCCCCCCCCCTTGCATTAAGAACATAACTGGGTGCTCTGTCTGGGGGCCTCCCTGCCCCTGCCAGGCACTCACACAGCTCTTTTCCGTCCTTCTGGTTCTTCACACTCCTCTCCTTGTGGTTGATACTTGTCTTGTTGTCCTGTACCATGCTCTCAGTCTCCTTCCCCATCTCCTTAACATCACTGTCCTCAGCAGAGCTACTGTCAGTGTCTGTAGATAAGATGTCAGTGGACGCCAGAACTCTGCAGCAGAAAACCACCACAAGGGTCAATCTCTGAGGTCTGCACCATGGAAGCATTTGGGCCACAAACAGGATGATGGAAACACAAATACCACAGAGCCCTAGTGACTCTGCTACATCCAATTCACACACACACACACACACACACACACACAGAGCGAGCGCTGCCTTATCTAGAGTTGGACCACTGCGTCCATCTAGCTTAGTACGGACTACACCAACTACCCGTAGCATTGGCAGAAGAACTCACTTGTTCTGCAAGTCAAAGATGCGTTGGCAGTTCTCCTTGTACCTCTCCTTCTGCTCTGCTGCAGAGAAGCGAGAACCACGGGCAAATTTGTTTGTCAATTCTTCATCAAAGCGAGCCTGCTTTGTGGATATCGCACGCACGACATCAACAATCTCCCAGCGGGAAAGCTTGTTGATCTGCAGAACGAGAGATTGGGTGACTGCAGGAGGCTGCCGAGGGAGGCCCAGGGCATGAAGGCATGCTCCTGCAACAGCCCCTACCCCGTGCTTACCTCCTCTTCAGGAATTCCAAACTGTCGCAGCATCTGCTTGCCACTTTTGAGTGGCAGACGCCGGAGATCTGCATCCGACCCAGTCACTGTCTTCTTCTGGAGCGGCTTGTCGTCCTGCTTGGAGGAGGAAGAGCAGGTTTCTTCCTTCTGATATCCTGCCCATTTGTCTCCCTCCCCACACTTCCTAGGCCTGGGCCTTGGGGAGAAACTCTTCAGCTCCAGTAGCCTCCCTAACCCTATGCAAGCCCCTCAGAGGTAATCAGGGGGTCTAGCAGGAAACTGCTGTTCTGCCCCTTTCCTTGCCAATGAGTAAGAATGAAGGAGGAGGAGCAGGAGGAGTGGGGAGGAGGAGGAGGAGGCAGCCCCCTAAGAGGCTGGCCTACAACAATGGCTGGGCTGGCCCATTTTCCTAACTTTCCTAACCTGGGCCATCCACTTACTTTCCGCTGAGATGACTTGTGTGGGATCTTCACATAGGAGAATCCTTCTCCACATCCTGTAGGGTCTGCCACTCCAGTCACGTCCAAGAGACATTTCCCGTTCATTGCTGCAATAAAGGCCTGCGTAGTGTTCCAGGGGGCACAGCGTATCTAAGGGGTGGATGGGAGAAAGCCGTCACAAACTGGGTCTGTTTGGCAGGTGAAGGAAGAGGTTATCCGGAAGGAGCATCTCCACCCCCACTGTTTAGCCCGGACACTGAGGTCCAGCTCCAAGGGCCTTCTGGCCATTCCCCTACCGTGAGAAGCAAAGTTTCAGGAAACCAGGCAGAGGGCCTTCTCGGTAGTGGTGCCCACCCTGTGGAACAGCCTCCTGACAGATGTCAAACAGATAAACAACTACACAACTTTCCGAAGACATCTTAAGGCAGCCATGTATCAGGAAGTTTTTAATGTTTGATGTTTTGCTGTGCTTTTATTATACTGGAGGCCACCCAGAGTGGCTGGTGAAACCCACTCAGGGTACAAACAATACATTCTTACAATTGTTATTATTATTATTACTACCCCATCTAAGGTTATGGTTGAGAATATCTGGCACTTCCCTGGTGAGCCACTGTGCAGTGCTGGTTCTACCTCATCATCTATCTTCAGATTGCTTTCTTCTTCCTTTTCTCCTCCTTGCTGCTCTCCCTCCTCTTCTTTTTCTTCTTGGGCAATGAAGGATTTCATCCCATAACCTGCATCCTGAGGAAAGAGTTGGGAAGCAATTTCCTGAGTCACGTGGGACATGCCCATGCAAACAGGGGCACACAGAGAGGCCTTGGGCCACCCTGTTAGCACAGGACCTGTGATAACAGAAAGCAAGCTTTGTATTCAAGAGACCACATACTCAAGGAAAGAATCTCCCCATCACAGGCTACTGCCTTCCCGTTGTCCCTGTTCCCACTGGATGGCAAGACTGCCCAAGGTTTTTAGCAGCCAAAGAATCAGCAGCCAAAGAATCCCAAAGAACTGCCTTCTCCTGAGTGGATGCCTCAGCTGGGGCAAGGGAGTCATCTTAGAGCAATAGGTAAGGTAAGACATCTGACAAGAGTCACCTGAAATGGTGTGTTACACTCAGATCCTGATACAAGGGTTACCTTATTTTTGTGTAACCAAAAGCATCGCTTTGAAGCAAAACTTTACAGAACAATTTCTACTTTGCGCCCAGCACAGTGAAGCAACTTCTCATAAACCCATCTTTAGAAGTATTAAAAATTATATTACATTGAGTACAGGCAACTCCCTATTTGCATGTGATCTACATGTGTGCAGCCACACACAAGCCAGTCTTCCCACTTCTGGGGTCCGCCCAGGAGAGTCCTAGTGGCTTGCAAGGAGACCCTCCCCAGAGTCTGAAGGGGACATCTTTTTCTGCTCTGGGGAGAGTCTCCTCGTGAGCCAGAGGGGCAGTGGGGCTTTGTTGATACTCCTCAGATGATGTTCTAAAACTTGGGTCCCCAGCCGTTGTTGGACTACATCTCCCATCATTCCTGACCACTGGTCCCACTAGAAAGGGATAGTGTGCATCATAGTCAAACAAGAGCTGGAGACCCAAGTTTGAGAAACACTGCTCTAAGCAGTGTCTAGAAATATCCAACAGAACCTTACAAGACTGTTATTCAAAGTGCTATTCCACAGCTATGATGAAAGTCAAGTGCTAGCCATGTAAAAAACTGCCAACCTAACAAGGAGATGGATGAGGCTCCAGTCTCCTCAATCATAGCGAATGCACACTGCCTTTCTGTTTCCTTGAAGTGCACACACTGGATCTGGCTAGAATACAGTCAGCCTGGCCACTTCTCTCTTACATAGAAAGCTGCCAGTCATACACTAGTCCATCTGGCTCACTGGTATCTACACTGCTTGGCAGCGGCTCTCCAGGAGATGCTGGAAATTGAACCTGGGATATTCTGTATGCATAGCAGATGCTTCTTCCACTGAACTAAGGCCTCTCCACAAAATTAATGTTAACTTTGAATGCCTAGGCCAGAACAACAGCTCTGCCTAAGCAGAAAACTCACTGTCAGCATATTTTTAACATTCTAAGCATTCCAATGAAAGCACCATATCCTATGAAGAACTGTTTTTGAGGCTCCTGGTGCATTGGAGGAGTTTGGGGGGGGGGAGGGCAGACATTCCTATTGCATCACCAAAAAGGGCAATTTCACAAAGGAAGGGACCATTTCTACCTGATGTTTAAGAGAATCTTATTATGGTACTACTGAAAGGGCAAATGCAGCTAGAAACACTGCTGGATGCACAACGCAAGACACAGGCTCATCTATTTATTTGATTGATAGCAAAAGATTGATTTATCTTTATGATGTATTTATTTATTAAATTTATATACAGTGGTACCTCTACTTACGAACGTGATCCGTTTCGGGGTGCCGTTCGCACCCCAAAAAGTCCATAAGTAAAGTGTTGCTACTGCGCGGGCGTGAAGCGCGATAAGAGTGCTTCTGCACATGCATGAAGTGCCCAGATCGCTTCTGCGCATGTGCGAAGCGCATAGATCGCTTCTGCGCGTGCGGCGAACCCAGAACTAAACCCTAACGAGTTTGCCGCATTCGTAACCTGAAAAGCCACAACGTGAAGCAAACGTAACACGAGGTATGACTGTATATTTATTTGCATTTAAACTTATTGCGTTCATATCACACTTTCTCCTCCCTCCCAAAAAAGGAGCTCAAGGTTTTCCCTTTCCTCATTTAATTCTCCCAACAACCCTGTTAGGTAGATGGGCCAGCCAAAATATTTCAGCCTCAAGGTCACCCAGTGAACTTCATGGCTGAGTGGGGACTTGAACCCTGGCCTCCCAGGTCCTGGTCTAACATTCTAACCACTACGCCACTATGGCTGGCCATGTTTTGCAACCTACACTCTGCCTTTATAATTCTCCCGCTGGTGGAGATTGGCAGAAGCAAGATGTCCTTGCAGTTCTCAAGTATCTTGCAGAGTGTGAAGGCAACCAACAAGGACTGAGGATATTCACAAAAGACACAGGCTCACCTTCAAATGCTGTTCGGCAGAGATCATGCTGTAATAGCCGCAGCACTGCTCTGGAGACACCATTGCTCTTATCTCCTCTTCGGTGGGCAGCCTGAAACCTGGCTTTAGTTTCCACCAGTTTGAGTACATCTCTGAAAGAAGCAGAGGTCCCCGCTAAGTCATACCAGGAATGATACCTGATTTGTAAGAACTCTGCTCTTTTAGTGTGGCAGGTCCTATACTTTGGAACTCCCTGTTTCTTGACACCAGGCACTGCACTGCTAAAACTCTTTTTGTTTAGATAAGCCTACGCAGGTGCTTAGAATGTTGATGTGAGTTTTAATCCGTCTCTGGCCTACTGTCCCTTCCCCTTATAGTCTGAGCAACAGGAGAAGCAGGTAGACAACATGCCAGAACCCACAGCCAAGGTGGAAAACCAAATATATACATATCGGGAACAAATAAAATATCAATAAATGCAGATTCAGTACCCCAAAACACATTCTACCCAGACTTTTGCAATCACAGGGTGGTGAAATATGTTTCTCTATCAAGGTTTGAGATTCTTCACTGCATTTTATATTTTATCTGATCTTAATGTTTTTTCAGATCTGTCTCCTAATACTTAAAACGGGGGGGGGGGGTTTACAGTTTTCAACAGCTTCCAAAAGCTTTTCTCCCTTGCTGGTCAGCCATTTTAAAAAATGTTGCTTTGACCCTGGAAACAGATACAGTGGTGCCCCGCAAGACGAATGCCTCACAAGACGAAAAACTCGCTAGACGAAAAGGTTTTCCGTTTTTTTAGTCGTTCCGCAAGACGAATTTCCCTATGGGCTTGTTTCGCAAGACGAAATGTCTTGCGAGTTCTTGCGAGTTTGTTTCCTTTTTCTTAAAGCCGCTAAGCTGTTAATAGCCGCTAAGCTGCTAATAGCCGTTAATAGCCGCTAAGCCGCTAATAGCCGTGCTTCGCAAGACGAAAAAACCGCAAGACAAAGAGACTCGCGTAACGGATTAATTTCGTCTTGCGAGGCACCACTGTACACAGAGCACCCCACTCATGATTGTAAAGCCAGTAAGGGGATATCGGAGAAGAATGTGTGCAGGTGTGGGGAAGCGCTATGCTATAGACAATTAGGCATGGATACAGGGAGGCAAGCCTTGGGAATAAAAGCAGAGAAGAGTTCCTGTGATGAAAAAGGCATTTCCACGTCCTAAGGGTCCCAACCGGTCAGTCTGTAAGGCCAGAAGCCCACCTAGGGCTCTGAGGATCCTAGGAACCTGAAGGAGGAGGTGACAAACTGGTAGCAGCTCCCCAAGGTCTCAGCCGCAACAGAGACATTCCTGTTACTTGTTGCTTCGTCCTTTTAAGCAGAGATGGCAAAGGCGAAACGTGGGAGCTTCTGGAGGCAGAAGCAGTGGCCCTCCCCAGGAAAACAAGGCTATGCTCAGTGACCACCTCAGCAAAGTGGGGCTTCCCAGGAAGGCTGGTGCCTGGTATTGCAAGGGAGCACAAGCTTACGTGTGCGCTCATAAACTGCACAGGGCTTCAGCTGCCTCCGGACTCTGGTGTCTGAGACCAAAGGAAATGCGTTCCTGATATCCTCCATGCGGATCCTCTGGGGTTCGTCTCTCTTACTGAACAGGCGGTATATGAAGGCCTAACAAGAAAGCCAAAGGAACAGCTTGAGATGCCAGTGGGCAAGAAGGGAACCTGTGCATAGCCAAGCCCATTGACCTCTAAATGGGGGCCGTTCAGTCCTCTAAGGAGGGATCTAAATGATTCAGGCCTCAAATATCTGAAAGACCACCTCCTTCCCACAGAAGGCCTCTTGGTTGTTCCACTGCCTTCAGAAGCTGGGGGGTGGGGGCGTTTCCAGGATAGGGCCTTCTCTGTGTTAGCCCCTAAGTTGTCCACAGAGGGGCATCTGGCACAGTTTGGTGAACGCTCGATTCACCTCTCTTTGACACTTGTATATTTTTAGGACTCACCTTATTTCTGAAATTTTGTTTCAAACTGTTTTTAACATTGGGTTTTGATTGCTGTAACCTGCCCTGGAACCCTGGGGTAAAGGGCAAGTAAGAAATTGTAATCATCAGCAAGCCTTGGGAGGAGCATACAAAACTTTCCGGGAGACATTTGGGGTTTCAGGCAGCCCCCTGGGACAGCAACAAAGCTAATGGATATTCAGAGCCTGGAAAAAAGCACCAATGGGGCTCAAATGAAAACGGGAGCCGTTATGAGACCCCTTTTGTCTCTCATCCTCAGGCAACAGCGGAGGTGGCTCAATCTGCTTCTGCCATCCCCCTCGTTGCACATAGCTGAGTCTGTGCCTTCAGTACGGATCCACTTGGCAAGAAATGGGGGCACTTGAGCATCATGAAGACTTGAAGCTCGAGCTGTGCAATATCACCAAACCCAACAACGAGAAGCTGGTGGTGATCACTGGGCAGCAAGAGCCCCAGTGAGCAAATGCCTAAGATCTGTGTGTCACATCCATATAAGGTTGCCTTGTCCAGAGTGCTATTTTATTTGCCTGTGATTCTGGGAAGAGGAAATGAACAATAAGGCTGCATACTTGATAGGCAGCACTGCCCTAGCCCAAACCTAGGGAAGAACTGTTCAGAACACCAGATAACACATCCGCCTCATGTGAATCCGCATCCGAGATATTGAACAAATATTTTTTTCCTCTTGAAGGCAAGTAGCTAATCCTGATGCATTTGACTCTCCTTGGTTTCCATTTGTTTCTTTTGTAAACATGAACATGCAGAGCATTTGGCCTTCTAGAGGGCAAGGGGTTATTTTGGAAGGACACTTGTGTTTCTGTGATAATGAAAATTTGTCAGTGCCTTCAGCTAAGCTTCTTGAAGGAGGAAAACAACCTTGCAATGTGAATTGGGGAGGGAAGAGTGTCTTAGTTGTGCATGACCTTGTTTCATTTTGCAACGGTAAGTTTTATTGTATGCTATTTTGGAAAATACTAAAGAACAATTTAAAAAAAAATCAATAGTCTCAAGCAAGTGAACCAAACTACAAAAGAGGGCAATTACTTTGAAGTTACTAGTGAACGTGAACCAATCCATTTTTGAGCTCAAATATGAACACAAAACTTTTTAACAGTCTGCCCTCTTGCACAGGCCCATATGTCACAGCTGCAACAACACTCCATTTTCCCTGAGCTTACTGCAGAGCTAATAACTTGCGTAACCCACAGAAGACAAACCTGGAGAAAGTCTCGAATGTGAGTCTTGGCACGTTTGGAGTTGGGTTGAGGAACTTCAAAGAGAGGACATTGCTGTCCAACCACAAAGATATCCTGCAAATCCCGGATGTAGTAACCATTCTGATCCTGGATAACTAAGAAGTCTGTTTCCGGCATCTTGTGATGATAAATCGGAGCCCGGAAGAGATTGTTTTCAAATGCCTGTCAAAAGGAAAGGGGCTACCTTGGTCAACTGCAACAGGAGTTAGGGAAAGAAAAAGAATCCAACATGACCTTACAGACCAGCTTTAGTCCTTGAGACATACAGTCAAACCTCGTTTTGCGGATGGGATCTGTTCTGGAGGATCTGCACGTCAAAATGCCGCATCTGCACATGGGGCGATTTAGCGATTCTGCGCGAGTGGCGACCCTGGAAGTAACCCATTCCGGTACTTCCAGGTTTGCCGCAGACATTCGCCAAAGCGGAAGCAAGCGGAGGTGGATGCAGGATGAGGATGGGATTCTCCATCAAACCCAAGAGACAGTTGATACACAGCAAGATCAAAGGCGTACAAGCAGTGCAAGCTCACTACCCACACGCCAAGTCACCTTCCATTTTCCAAAGGTGACCAAAGTGCAAAACATTAGAAATAGCAAATGTACTGGCTGCTTGCCTTCACACAGTTCACTGTGGCACTCTCTGAAGTCATGGGCCAGAGGGAATACTGGATGCTGTCCATGGGTGGGACTGCCATGAACAAGTTGTTCGCCCCCCACCTTCCCAGGTATCTGGCCTCTGCTGGTACCTTGGGGAGAAGCACTCACACCCAGAGGACAGACTCCCTAGCCATGGAAGAATTCTCCACCGCAACTCTAATGACCAAGTCCAAGCTTTTATTGCAAGTGTCTGAGAGTTTTGGCAGAAAGCATTCCTGCCTTCTTTTAGACATCTTCAGAAAGCCATACAGGTGACTCACATCTTATGCTTATTTTACTTACGAGGTTGTGGCTTTGGAGAGGTACGGGGAGCAAAATGAAAAAATGGAAAGTGGAGGAAACCCACTCTCCGTTTATTTATTTCCCCCCTGCACAGCTGGGGCCGCAGGGAAGGCATCACAAGGACTCTGGCAGTGCCCAAGAGCCCCTGTGCCTTCTTGTCACGAGCCAGGAGTCAGTTTCGCCTGCTGAACAGCAGCCTGGAGAAGGAGAAGGTGGAATGACTGCACCTGTAGCTGATCAGCCTTCAAGGACACAGAGAAGGCACTGATGAGAATCAGCTGGCTTCAGCCTTTTTAAATAGAGCTCCCAGTATCAGTAGATGCTGGAAACAATGCCTGTGGTGCCTGACCTTACCTTGCTGCTTCCTGCTCTCCACCTGGGCTCTGTAATCATCTGCTTTCCCTGATCTCTGGACTGTCTGACTTCATATGTGGATTCTCCTTTCTGGTAAGTATTCCTCAGAGACTCCTAGTCCTTGCTTGGCTCAGCAACAGGACTCATACGGGCTATGACATGCCTCCGCAAAGCCCGGCACCTTGGCTTACCGGGCTTTGGGAAGATGGTAGCTCTGGGACCCTGCCAGAGCCTCGAGCCTCCTTCCCAAAACCAGGCAAACACTTCTTGGCTTTGGGAAGGAGGTCACACAATTCTGAAGAACACACACAAACTCAATCTTGCCACCCCACCCATTGTGAAAGGCAGACATCTCACCTGGAGTTGCTGGCCTGGGTAAAGAGAACCCAAGAAGGGGGAGGTTTGGCAGTAGGTGGTCTCCCCATATGGCTGCTTAGGGGGACCTGAATCTTTACCCGGCTTCTGCCAAAAGGAAATACAGCTTTAGTGAGAAGGGCAGCCTCAAGCTACAGAAGCTCAAACACCTGCAGCCAAACAACAGCACTCTCACCCGCTTGTAGTAGTTCTTGATCTTGGTTGCCATGCCAACCTGCATCATTAAGGGGGGGTTCTCCTCACTGTACTCCGCTAGGATAAGGTCTCCATCCTTGCCTGAGAGGTCTTGCGGAGTGCGCATGAAGAACATCTCCCCACCACCAGAGGCTTGCAGCGCACTCCTTCTCATCTGGGTGCAGAGCAAGTTGAAAGTACAAAGAGACCAAATGCAGATAGCAGAGATGTATAAGACAGCGTCGAACAAATGTCGGAAGTGCCAACACGTGGGACATCTTTCTATAGGTGCTGGACTTGTATATATATATAAAAAAAGCAACAGGCTTTTGGGTAATGATACATAATGAAATAAAAAAAGTTTGAAATCACTGTTCCCCAAAAGCCTGAAGCATTCTTATTAGGAGTAATAGGATTAGAAATCCCGAAAAAGATGGCCAAGTTGCTTAAGTATGCGACCGCAGCAGCCAGAGTTCTGTATGCACAGAAGTGGGAAGGCGGCAAGGTTCCAGTAAAAGAGGAGCAGATTTTGAAGTTAATGGACTATGTGAAGATAGCAAAAGTGATGGCAAAGAGACCAAAATGAGAATAGTGTATGGAAGAATGGAATTTTTTCAAAAAGTATTATAGCCAAATGAAATTGCAAGCAGGCTTGAAGTGTAAGGAATGGAAGGGTAGCAAGAATGAAATAAATAAAGAAATGTAAAGTAGAATAAGTATTGTATAAAAGGCACCGGGTAATTGCAGGAGGGGGGACATCATTAATGGGAGGACGGGAAGTGGAATGGTTAAGAAAAGTGTATAAATTGGGTTTTGTGTCAAGTTATAAAACCAATGAAGATTTTAATATTAAAAAATTATAAACTGACTAAACGAGGACAGAAACACACACAGCATCAGGTAGTTTCTCTCTGAGCCCCCAAGGTGAGAAAGAGTTGAGGGCATAGCTGTCAAAGCATCAGAGCAGAACCAGGAAATGGAGGCTTTACCTTGGCTTTCTTCTCGATGTGGTTTTGTAGTGATTGCACTGGATGGGGGCCAGGCTGGGACAAGGCCCCAACGGAATATTTCTTCAAGGGGGGCCGGTGCAGCTGGCGAAGCTCTGTGGGGTCCAGGTGGGTGGGGAAGAAGGGCTGTTGAAGCTGCACTGCAGGAATTGAGTGCTGCACCAAGGCAAAAAAACACACAACCCAAACATGAACTTTTACTCAGGATGTACAAAAGTCTGGATGTACATTACCGCCAGCCAAAGGAACATGTCCCCATCCCAGAACAAGGGCAATCATGGGTCACAGAAGGGAAGGGGCTGAGGGATATGTCCACCCTACGAACATGCCATGCAAAGCCACATCCTAAGCCTTGGGAAGAAGCTCTGTAAGGATCCAATGGAAAGCTGGCTCACCAATCGTACCTGCACACAGAATCTTGTCCTATTGTGAAGATGCAAGGCTGAGCATTTTGCCACAGGCACATGGTTCTCAGAAGGCTGGAATTCTGCACGAGACTGCACTTTTGCACATTTAAACATGCATGCACATACAGAGAGAGATGATACCACTGGTTTTAACCTGGATGATGTTGCCTCCAAAGGTTCCATGAAGCCTATGCTTGTTTGGATAGTAAAATTCATCATTCGAGAGGTTCCAGGGGTCCTTCACCTCTGGGTCAGACATATTCTAGAGTTGCAACACAGGGAAGTTGAAGTCAGAATTTCTCCCCCCCCTTCCATTTATTAGCCTTATGTGAAACAGAGCCGCTTCCACAAACCTGTTGAGCCTCCTCCTGAATAACTCCCGTCTTGATCAGGAGAATCCGGCTATTCCTTTGAGAAGGTTTTTTCTTATTTTCAGAAGGAGTGTTCAACATCCCCTCGTCCTCCTCCTCAGGAATTTCTAGGAAAGAACATACAATAAAAGTGAACTCTCAATGTCTGTCTGTAGGTATCCCCATCGCCAAAGCACTTACATAAAGGAAGTCCATCTGAATGCATGACCCTTCACTGGAAACCTCTTTAAGAAACCTATTTGGACATGGACTGCTTATATTAATCTATACTTTTAAGTTAGGGTTGATTGAATATTCTTATTGTTAATGCCAGGTGATGATATTTTTATCTCTTCTGTAAAATTTGCAAAAATATTTTAAAATGTAAAAAAAAGGGCCAACTAATTTTTAAAATACAATCTTAACTTAAAACAATAAGAGATTTAACTGACCTTCAAATCTGAGATCATGATCCAATTCCTTCCCCATGGGATCTATTACATGACAGGTCACCTCACTCCTTGCTTCTGCAGGTTAAGCCCCATTGCTACATTGTGTGTGTGTGTGTGTGTGTGTGTGCGCGCGTGTGTGTGTGTGTGTGTGTGCCTGCACGCGCACACACACACACACACACACACACGAGTTAACTATTGGCTCCTCCAAAAGAATCAGAGTTCTATTAGATCCTCAGGCCCCTTAAGCAACTACAATTCCCAGAATCCCTTGGGAGAAGTCAGGACAGTTAGGAGCAATTTTCTGGGAGCTAAAAAGAAAAAAAGAAAAAAAGGAAGAGCTTCACCTGTCTTAAACAGCAGATTGCTCAGTAAAACATTCAGTCCAGTATACCTGAAGGAGCATCTCCACCCCCATCGCCCAGCCCCTGAGGTCTTAATCAGAGGGTCTTCTGGTGGTTCCCTCACTGCAAAAAGCGAAGTTACAGGGAACCAGGCAGAGGGCCTTCTAAGTAAGTGGCGCCCTCCCTGTGGAACAGCCTCCGTCAGATGGCAAGGAGATAAAAAGAACTACAAAACTTTTAGAAAACATCTGAAGGCAGCCGTGTATTGGGAAGTTTTTAATGTTTGACATTTTACTATGTTTTTATATATGCTGCAAGCCAGCCAGATGGGCAAGGTAAAAATAATAAATAATAAAATTATTATCATCATCATTATTTCCTCAGTCCACCTGAATTTTGCATCTATGTTCCCCAACCCAACTCTGCAAAATCACTGATCTCCAGAAAGCCAGAAATCTCTTGTTTCCAACCACTAGTAGGTCAAAGGAAAAGCATGGTGATTGTATGAACAAACCCAGGACTAGATTTTCATCGTCTGAGTCAAGTGTCATAACCGATGGAGTGAAGACATTCTCCATTGCCTCATGGTCCCAGATGATGTTGTCCTCCCAACGGCCATAAATGAGCTCTCTGTTCTCAATGGGGAAAATAGAGTACCACGGCTTGCCTTCTTCCTGATTTGCTGCAACGACACAACAAAAGCACTCCTGTAAAGATCTCCAGAGTACTAGGACCCTGTCAAATTCCTCTTCCCCCTATCTACCCAAATGATGCTGACCACCCTCTCCAAAGCACAGACTTGACCCTCAGAAGATGTAAGGGCAGAGTGTGTGAATTTTGCAAGACAAAGAGGAAGAGCACATTGTCAATGGAGGGTGCTTCCTTCCACACAGAGGCTTATCGGAGAATCGATGCTGCTCATTTAACACAAGTTACCAGCATGTGGGGAGAGGGTTTGTTTGGTTTTTTGCCATGTGTGTGGTGATGACTCATGTGATTGGTCCTTATCACTACAGCCCTGCTTCCATTTGTTCCTCAACACCCTAGCCATTTTATTTCCAGAAACACAAAGGATACAAATGACCATATCTCCACTGACTGCCACGTGCTTGAGGTACATTGGAATTTCAGCACCTCCATTCCAAGGAACTGCTCTCTCAAGACCCCATAACGATATATGAGAAGTTCTGCCAACAGCCCAATTAGTCTAGCACCTTGTACTCAGTGGCCAACCAGATTCCCCAGAGAAGCCCACAAGCAAGACCTCTCCCCTCCTATGGTTTCCAGAAACTGGTATTCAGCAGCATACTGTCTCCAGCAATGTAGGGAGAACATAGCCATCAGGGTTAACAGGCCTACATGGATTTGCCTAATCCCGTTTAAAGCCACCACAATAGTGTCCTCTGCAGCTAAACCAGCCACTTTGGCAGTGTCTCTGAAGATCCTGCCTGGTTCATTGCATTCTGTGCTCCTGGGGGAGATTTGGGGTGGGGTGGGGGGTCAAATAGCTATCCAGGAACCCCAGGTGCTGGGATCTCTTGTCCTGTGGCAGGGACTCCCAGATTCAACAACTCTTTAATGGTCACTGACTGAGTACAGATCTGCTGCTGTTCCTCTGAATAGGCCTCAAGCTTGAAATGTGGGCAGGGCTGAAGCTGACACATCAGACCTAGATCCTGCCAGGTAATTATTGCCCGTTCCCTTTTGCTGACTAACATAGAACATCTCTCCACTGCATGGTACAAGGCTCCTCTTTCCTCTCTACTGTTTGAGGAGCTGCTCCTCTTTGCTGAGCAAGGCCCAACACTCCCAACATGCTGGGCTTTGTGTGTCAGAGGGAGAGGCAAACTGAGCAGGCACCCACTGCAGTTCAGTCCTGGCAACAGATGCAAGAAGATGTTGAGGAGGCCAAATGAAGTCCAGCGGCAGACGGTCCAAAAAGTGTGCTTCTTCTCTATTTACTTGGCAGTATCTTTAAATACTGCACAAGCAACAACAACGAAACCCTCTAAGCCAGGGACGTCCACCCGAGGAGGAAAATGAGCCCACAATCAACCACGATCGACTTATATCAACCGTGGGTCGACCTGTCAATCGCCGTTGACCAGTTGGACATCCCTGCTCTAAGCCATTCACATAAAACGCAGACACACACAAACACACAAATTCATTGAAAACATAAAATCAGACATTAAAAACAAAGTGACAAATTGAGGAACTTTTCATTTCAATAAGTTTGTGCAGTGAGGTGAAACGTCTCTGTTGCAGGTATTTGTTTCGTATTGCTTTTGAAATCTATTTTCTGGGGGCTGGGTGGGGGTCGTACTGGTTTTATTCTATTATTTTGAGTTATATACTACCCTTCATCATAAGATCTCAGGGTGCTTCACAGAGTAAAATTGTAATCTGTTTCTTTGGCCTGTCTGTAAATCATTTTGATACATATATACTGTATATATAAAAGGGTTACTACTACAACTACCACCAATAATAATGTTTTGACAATGGTATTGTTATTAATACAACCTGCAGCTTTAAAGATACATAATTAGAGGAAGCTGACTTATACCAAGATTGGTCCATCAGTCTTAGTATTGCGGGCACTAACAGGCAGCAGCATTCCAGGATTTCAGGCCACGTTTCCCAGCCAGACCGGAAGATGCTGGAACTGAACCAGGGACCTTCCGTGTGCAAAGCAGGTGTGCTCTGGCCCTGAGATATGGCCCTTCCTCCAGTTGCCTGCTAACCTTACCTTGCTGGGTGCTGGTGGTGGCGGCACCTGTCTTCATACTGGACGGCAACCAGGCCTCCTGCCTCGCTTGCTTTGCCTTGGGATCCTCCTTGATGTCATCCACGTTCCAGATCACGTCATCCTCCCAGTGCTTCTGGGTCACCATGAGGAAGTCCTCATCTGACAGCAGATTGTCCTTCTCAGCCTTAGGAGTCTGAAGGGAGAACAGAAAATGGTCAAGGTGCTGGTAGCTGGGCCCCTTCCCTCCTCCTCCTCCTGCTGCTGCTGCTGCTTTGGAAGAGGAAAAACAGAGCCCTTCCTCCACACCCACCTCCTCCTCCTCTTTGTGCTCCTTCATCTTGAAACCATAGTCAAAGCCGCTGCCGTCCTCGGGGACGCCCAACATGTCATACCACAACTTGGCAGGCCCATGGCGCCATTCAGCCACCTTGGACGTGGGGGCTGCCACCTTCGTGTTTTTCGTAGACTGGGAGGCCTTGGGCTTCACCGGTGCCATCATGGTGATCTGGAGGGGGAGAGGGAGTCAGAGGGTCAAGAGAGAGGAGCTGGATCCCACTGAAGCAATTACAATTAAGAGAGTTAATATGGACCGACAATGGGCGGCTTACAGGGAACTGCTGGATTTTACAGTGAGGGAACCCAGATTGAAACCTATGGAAGACTTAAGGAGCCAAGTTACAGATTGGTTGCAATAACACCAGTTACACAACATGTTTAAATGAGATAGTAAGAATTGATTTCTGGACCAAAGCTCACAATTTGAAGAGGGGAAAAAACTCTTACAAAAAAAGGATAGACCTTTGTCTAAAATGTATAATTTTCTACTAGAACAGGAAACAAAAGACGAGCTTGTTAAAGCTTCAAAGACACACTGTGCAATAGATATAGGGCATAATATAGATCTCAACCTCTGAGAGAAACTCTGGAAAAGTGACCTGAAATTTACTGAAAGTTATTCATGGAAAGAGAATTATTTGAAAATGATTCATAGATGGTACTTAACTCTGAGTAGGTTGGCTATGATTTATAAAACAGAATCAGATATGTGCTGAAAGTGTAAAGAAGTGGAGAGAACTTTTTTTCACATGTGGTGGACATGTAACAAGGTAAAAGTGTATTGGGAAATGATTTATAATGAATTGAAAAAAATATTTAAAACTACTTCCTCCCCCCAAAAAAAACAACAACCAGAGTCCTTTTTGTTAGGAATAACCCAGACTGAAGTTCCTAGGTGTCAGAAAAGGTTATGTATGCAACAGCTGCGGCCCATGTTTTGTTAGCCCAAAAATGCAAAGTGAGTGAGGTCCCAACTAAAGAAGATTGGCAGCTTAAGCTGTCAGAAAATGCAGAACTTGCATATTTAACACATAAAATAAAAGAGCAAGAAGAACATATATTTAAAGCGGAAATCATTTATTGAATATATGGAAAATAACTATAAAGCTGAAAACGCTGGAAGCACTAAGATAAATTCAACAGAGTAAATAATTTTTGATAGATGTAAAATGGAAAACTGATTTGAATGGTTATAGTAAAAATATGCAGGGATGTGTAAAATGAACCATGGAAAGAGTAGAAGGAAGTCACTAGATATTTTAAAGTTTGTAAAAGGTTTATTTGGAGATGTAAAATTGAAAACTTAATAAAAATTATTTGCTAAAAAAGCGAGGTGGTAGGAGCATCTCCAGAGGACTTGGACCATCCTCAGCACTGATTTGCACTTGGCATTCGCCTTGCAGAGACTAATATTTCTCAGCCTTCCTTCTTGGTAGGAAAAGATTCAGCTGTTGTTGACAGGGGAACCTATGTCCTACAGCAAGGCAGACAGGAATCCACAACCTCTCTTTTGAAGTAGCAAAGAGGCTGTCTGGCATGAACTACATCCCACCCCTGCTGCTGTATTCCAAAGATAAACTTTAAATGGTGCTTGGAACAGAGTCTGTCCTTGAAGCAAGTTGCTTAGCAACGAGAATCCTCCCTAGCACCAGGTGGGGCAAATCTGAGGGAGGAGAGATTCAGTGTCAGCCTGTGTCTGTGAGAGTCTGTCTCTCTAATTAGATGGCTGCAGGGAGCAAAGAGGCTCTCTTCATTTCAGAGAATCCTAGAATCTTAGAGTTGGAAGGGACCCCAAGGGTCATCTAGTCCAACCCCCTGCAATGCAGGAATCTCAGCTCAAGCATCCATGACCCAACCTCTTCTTAAAAACCTCCACAGAAGGAAAGTCCACCGCCTCTCGTGGGAGTCCGTTCCACGACTGAATAGCTTTTACTGTCAGAAAGTTTTTCTGAATGTTTAGTCGGGATCTCTTTTCTTGCAACTTGAAGCCATTGCCTTGAGTCCTACCCTCCAGAAAAGAAGCTTGCTCCCTCTTCCATGTAACGGCCCTTGAGATATTTGAAGATGGCTACCATATCTCCTCTCAGTCTCCTCTTTTCCAGGCTAAACAGACCCACTGATAGAGAGCTGGACTGCTGTGAAGATGCTGGAAGGCTTTCTAAGTAACTCTGCTGTGAGACAGTAAAAGCAGCAAACACACTAACAATCCCCTACTCCATCCTCCTCTCTGCTCCCAGAAACCCACCTCATCGTCAGAAAGGCACTGCTCCGGAGGAGGAGTTGGGGCAAACTTGTACTCCCAGGACGATTTGCCTTCTGTGCCTTCCTCAGTAGCAGCTTCTCCTTTCTGGAACTGTACTTTCTGAGTTGATTTCTGGTGCTTCTTCTTCTTCTTGAGCTTCCCATGGGCTGTGCTCCAGACAGATGGGGCATTTTTGCCAGGGTCAAAGAGGCGCAGAAATCGCAGCGCCTACAGGGAAGGACAAAGAAGGGAGCGAAGGTTGGGAGGCATAAGTGGCTGGTCTCTCTGATCACTCAGGGCATGTCAAGCACGGAAACATTAAGTTTGCCATCAGGCCGCATCTCTCTGTCACTCTAGCTGGCTGTGGAGGCAGTCCTCTCCAGGTGGGTTTGCAAGACCTGCAGAAGGGGTGGGGGAACTTCTGCAACCTGGGGGCCACATTGCCACATGGCTAACCTTTGGTGGGTCACATGCCAATGGAGGAAGAGTCCAAAACGTAAACAGACACAGCCCAAGAGAGCTGGGCAGAGCTGGTGGAGGGTGGGACCACCCCACGCTTGCTCGAGCATTACACACATACAGCACACAAATTCATTCACTCACTCACTCACTCTCATTGCCTCCCTTACACTCATGGGCACCCATATCCATTCCATCAATGTAGCATCTGCCCCTGCAACGATCAGGCTTGCCTAAAAGGCTCCTCCCGGAGTGAACAGGAGGCTTTTCTGAAGCCCAATTGCACTAGAGCCGCACTTTCAGTTTGGGAGGGGGAAGCACCACATTTAAGCTTCAAATCTGGAGTCACCTGGAGGCCTTTCCCGACCCTAAATGTGGCTGGGTGGGGTGGGCTGCGGAGGTGTATGCTGCCGAGGAGGGAAGGGCTATCCTTTTCCTCCCCAGCTGTACCCCCACCTCCACATGACAAGCTTTGAGGCAGTCTAACACAATAAGCCATGTCCAGCTTTCTCTCATAGGGCACAGTATATGCAGGTACCAGCAATCTTGCTGCTCTTGGGACTTATTCACATCCTGGGGGTAGGCGGGGGGCTATTAGTGCTGAAAAGTGCTTTTTATTAGCCTCCAGCCTGAGCTCCCCACAGTCATTACACATACCTCAAGCTTGGGAATTTACGCTAATCATTTGGGACCACAAGAGAACCCTCACCTGAAGAAAAGGAGATGCACCTAGCTTTTTACACTCTTACTAGGAATTTGCAAGGTAACTGCATCCTGAGACAGGAAGCCTGGAAGGATTGGGAGAGGAGCAGGAGACACAGAGCCATCTCAGGGCTCCGGGGGCCAAAATGGAAGATCACCGTACCTGAAATGTGCTCACCCAACAGCTTCAGTCTGCAGAACTGACACCATTGCAGGTGCTGTATAATACTTGCCCTGCCTTTACACTTTGGGAATTTACACTATGGAACTCGCTGCTAAAGGCACTTTTGCTTAGACACGCCTACCCAAATATGTAGAATGTTGCCACGTGCTTTAATCTGTTCTTAGCTTATTGTTAAATGCAATTATATTTTGTTTTAAATAGATGTTTGTAACTATTGTTACTGATAATTTTATTGTTTTATTCCTTCTGCAAACTGTTTTGAGGGGGGGTTGGGGGGAGGATTTACAATCAAGTGGTCTATAAATTTGTGAAATAAACAGAAGTACAGAGAGAAATCGCCCATCCTTCTACCACGAAGTGCAGCCTTCCACTCCGACTCAGCCCTCAAGCCCTACCTTGCCTGGCCGGAATTCAGGGAACAGGTCTGTGGCGCTGGGCAGCTGCTTGGTGGCATCTTGCTGCATTATCCCTGCAAGCGGAAATGTAGACTTGTCTTCCTTGGACTGCTGCTCAGATTCGGAAGAGGAAATGGTGGGCTGCTGGATGGCATTCTCGCTGTCTTCATTCCCTGGAATGGAGAGCATCTCTCAGAGAGAAAAGAAAGAAAATCTCTGCTCCGTAACCTCAACATGGCAGAAAGCTAAGCCAGGCATTGAAGTGGAAAGAAGAGCAGCGTTTCAAATGGAACCCGGCTTCTTGAGAATTGCAGCTTGCATTTGGGACAAAAGTGGTGTGGGGCAGGGCAAGGGAAGAGTCACAGAGAATCCTCTTGGACATGCCCAAAGCCACACTGACCCTGCACTAAAGAAGTCTGAATGACCCAGGTCAAGTTCTCCCACTACCAGTAGATTCTGTGACTGTCGAGCTATTGCGCAACCATAAATCCTTAACATAATGAGATGAGAGCTAGGTGTTACAATGAAAAATAACAGGTGGAGTACAGTGTGCTTGTTTTGCTCCCGTATACCTTCTGCTTACCCCTGACTCTAGAGGGCTCACAGTCACATCCCATGAGTGCATACGCACCAAAATAAGTTGTGTCCTGTTCCTCAGCCTCCTTCACCAGTGCTGGATGTGGTGGCGAAGGAGCCATCAGCCTGGAACTGGTTTCTTCAGAGCCAGAAACAGAAACACCACCTAAGGAAGAAAGGAGGGAACTCAATGATGGGCAGCTCTTCCATCTCATCGCACCTCCAGTTCATTGTCCTTGTTAAAAGCTACCAGAATTAACATTCTAAGAAGACCCAGGCATCCTCCATCATCTTCTATTCCCACATAATTCCCCACACTCAACTAGTTATTTCTGTAATTTTTAGGTTTCCTGTGGGGAAGGGCTGAGGACTATCTGCTTTGCATGAAGAACACCTCAGGTTCAATCCCCAGCATCGCTAGGTATGGCTGCGATAGGCCTAATTTGAAACCCTGGAGAGCCACTGCTAGTCCATGTAGACAATACTGAGAAAGATGGAGCCATGGTCTAAGGCAGCTTCCTATGACCCCAAATAATAATAATAATAATGATAATTTTTTATTTATACCCTGACCCCACCCAGCCAAGACCAGGCTCAGGGCGGCTAACAACCAATAATAAAAACAAGTTGATTAAAATACAATTTAAAAAGATTAAAATACAACATTAAAACATTAGGATGTAGCCTCTTCACCAGAGGAGAAAGGAAAAAGAAAGAGGGGGAGGGAACCAAACTGATTCTAAGCCAAAGGCCAGGTGGAACAACTCTGTCTTACAGGCCCTGCGGAAAGAAATCAGATCCCGCAGGGCCCTGGTCTCATGAGACAGAGCGTTCCACCAGGCCGGAGCCAGAGTTGAAAAGGCCCTGGCTCTGGTTGAGGCTAATCTAACTTCCTTAGGGCCCGGGACCTCTAGGGTGTTGCTATATATGGACCTTAAGGTCCTCCGTGGGGCATACCAGGAGAGGCGGTCACATAGGTACGAGGGTCCTAGGCCGTGAAGGGCTTTAAAGGTCAAAAGCAGCACCTTAAATCTGACCCTGTACTCCACCGGAAGCCAGTGCAGCTGGAAAAGCACTGGGTGAATATGCTCCCATGGCAGGGACCCCGTGAGGAGCCTCGCTGCAGCATTCTGCACCCGCTGGAGTTTCGGGGACAGCTTCAAGGGCAGCACCGCATAGAGCGAATTACAGTAGTCAAGCCTGGAGGGGACCGTCGCATGGATCACTGTGGCCAGGGCGGGGCGGGAAATGTAAGGGACCAAATGCTTGATGCGGCGAAGGTGGAAAAATGTCGCCTTGGCTGTTGCTGTAACCTGCGCCCCCATGGAAAGGGAGGCATCAAGGATTGTACCCAAACTCTTAACGGAAGGCAATGGCACTAATTGGGCCCCTGCAAGAGAAGGGAGTTGGTCCCTCATCCCCATACCATCTCGACCCAGCCAGAGGACCTCTGTCTTCGAAGGATTTAGTTTCAATCAGCTCCCACGAAACCATCCAGCCACAGCTTCCAAACATCTGGTCAGTGTGTCCAGGATCGAGTCAGTATGGCCATCCATCAGCAGATAGAGCTGAGTGTCATCAGCATATTGGTGACAACCCAGCCCAAAGCTCTGGACAATCTGGGCAAGGGGGCGCATAAGAATGTTAAAAAGCATCGGGGAGAGGATTGCGCCCTGCGGCACTCCACACACCAAGGAGTGGCGCAACGACATCTCCCTCCCACCCTCTGTCCCCGACCAGAGATAAAAGAGCACAGCCATTTACGGGCTATGCCCTGCATCCCCACGTCGGCGAGGTGGTGGTCCAAAAGATCGTGATCGACCATGTCAAAGGCTGCTGACAAATCTAAGAGAATCAGCAGTCCCGACCCGCCTCGATCCAGTTGTCTGCGGAGATCATCTATTAGGGCAACCAGAGCCGCCTCGGTCCCAAAACCAGGAAGGAATCCGGACTGAAATGGATCTAAAGCCGATGTTTCAGTGCTCGCTTCGGCAGCACATATACTAAAATTGGAACGATAAAGCTGATGTTTCCTCCAGAAACCTACCAAGCTGTTCTGCAACTGCTCTCTCAATTACCTTACCCAGATATGGGAGATATGAAATTGGGCGGTAATTGGATAGATTTAAAGGATCTAGTGAAGTTTTCTTTAAGAGCGGACACACCATTGCTTCCTTCAGTTCCCCTGGGAATATCCCCGTGCCAAGGAACAAATTGATAATTTCAACCAGGGGAGTCCGTGCGATATCTGGGCACGCCCTAATCAGCCAAGACGGGCATGGATCGAGGAGGCAGGTGGTAGGCCTACCAGCTTGGAGGAGTCTATCCACATCAGCAGGGAGTATCCAATCGAAATGGTCCAACACTGGACCCGAAGACAGTTGAGGGGCCTCCAGTTCTGTCACTGTATCTAAATTGGCAGGGAGGTCATGGCAGAGCAACAGGACTTTCTCCGCAAAAAAGCTCGCAAATGCCTCACAGCTGTGGGTCGAATTTGTGCTTAAATTTGGTTGTCCTCCTAAGGACGTTATTGACCTAATTATTCTAAAAAGTTGTGCTGGGCGAGAGCTAGCGGATGCAATGGAAGCTGCAAAGTGAGATTTCTTAGCAGCTTTCATAGCCATCTCATAAGCTTTCATAAGCATCCTATAAGATGTTCATGAAGCTCCGTCACGAGTCCGTCGCCATACTCGCTCTAGCCATCTGAGATCCCGCTTCATTTTCCAGAGCTCCTCGGTAAACCAAGGGGCCCGGTTTCAATCTTGGCTTTCAGAGCATAGTGATCAGACCATGGCACTTCCACGGGGGCTGGGGGGAGCATGATCACATCTATGCCAGCACCAAATATCAAATCAAAGGGCAGCAGGTTGGGAATGTGCATAAGCACAACCAACATCACAACTCAGCCTGAACCTCCAATATAAGGCTGGGATACAGTGCAAAGAAATCCACTGAATAAATAAATGGCACAACACAGACCAGTCAGAATTCATTTGGATTACAGCAGCCCAATGCAACCCTCGAGGGCCCCCAGAGGAAGGGTAATAGATCAGTGGTAGATCATCTGCCTTGCATGCAGAAGCTCCCTGGTTCAGTTCCTGGCATCTCCAGGGGTATTTGGTAGAGACTCCTTGGCTGAAACCCCAGAGAGCGGCTGCCAGCCAGGGAAGATAATACCAAGTTAGGTGGGCCAGGCGCCTGGCCCAACATAAAGCATTGTTGGAGATTAATAATAATAATAATAATAATAATAATAATAATAATAATAATAATTTATTTATATCCCGCCCTTCCCAGCCAAAGCTGGGCTCAGAGCGGCTAACAACAGTAAAAATAGCAGAGTTTACATAAAATCACAGTCAATTAATTGAAATACATTCTAAAATCAATTCAGTCATGGTAAGTAGCCACTGATTGCCTCATCTTCCATGGTCTGGCTGTGTGAAAGAAGGTTGTCCTTTGGCTAGCCAAGCCTGAGACATATTTGCAAGTGATGACTTCAGACAGAAAAATATGAAAGAATCCAAGGGAACTAGCCACTTTCTCTTTTTAAAAAACCTTTTCCCTATTCCCCACAGCTGAGACACCTGCTATGGGAATGGAAAGGCCTAGGGCTAAAACATCCAATTAATGCAATCTTCATTACCATCAGCTCCTGTAACAGGGGCCAAGGTGGGCAGAGCAATGGAAAAGCTTACTATGCAAGACTGACTCCGTTGATAAAATGTTTACCAGGAGCAGAAACCAGGGTTGCAATTATTAAAGGTATAGGACTCTAAAGAAGAAGAGCAAGAGAGAACCAGCACGGACATCAGGGCAGCAGGAACCAGCTTGATTAGAAAAAGATTAGTTATGCCAAAGGCGACAGAAGAAACCATCTGCCACCGCTTACCTGCCCTCACAACTAGCTGAGGGCTGCATACCGCCTGCCCACTGTGGACATCATCTTCAACCAGCTCGGTAATGTCAGAATAATCAACAGCATTGTCATTACTCTTAACCCAGCCTAGGGAGAAACAGAAAACACAGCAAAATTACAGATCCAGCAGGCGACACCTTTTTCCTATCACAGCTTCTGCACCCACATCCATGAAGGACGTGGGAAAAAGGAGTATGGCTTTTGCAGGAGTATCCTAAGCCTCATTCCCACCAGCATCTAGACATGATGATAAAAGCAAAAGTGTAATATGTCCTGCTAAGGAACAGATGATTGTTATTATGTCTTCATATGTAAAACCACAGAATTCAAAGAGGGCGCACTTTCTTTTTCCCATGACTGTAAGGGAAACACCAAGGCAAGGAATGGGTGGGAAGGAGGGAGGAATACAATATTTAATTCACAGAATATGAACAAACCAGGTGCAGATAACAAATCACATAGAAGCTGTTGGCATAGGGCTTGTGCTAAGCATGTGCAGCTCCCCAAGCATGTAGGTTCATGGCAGTGCAGTTTGTGCTGGAAGAAATTCAGTCAGGCTCCAACTTTTCAGTCAGTTCAGTACTTACTGACAGGTCCAAAGCATTAAGACAGTTTCACTGTATATAGGCTTCCACTAGATCCCTGGTAGAAGGTGCAGGCTTTAAATGCAAAGCAAGTACAACTCACAGCATACATACAACACAAAGCTCAGTATCAATCTGGCAGAGCTTCCTCAAAGCAAACCGAACAGACAATGTACAAACCCTCTCTTAATATACTCAAGAATGACCATAACCTTGGCTGGTTGCCAGGTCACAGTGACCTTCAAACACCAATCACAAGATCTGCAGGTGCAAGATAAGGGAAGCCATGCACCAAATTAAAGGAACCACAACACATAGGAACCATCACATATAAACCCCTTCAATCCCAGTGCAGAATATCAGCTCCCCTGATGGAATCCAGTTTAGCACTAATTTTTGTTCCACTGGCATAAGGATTTATGCTTAGACATCTGATTTCTGCCTATTACATGTGGCTACTTACTACCAGACAAGCGTTTACAAGATTATAGTCTGTAATCTTCAGCTCTCAGTGTTTTCCTTTTGCTTTCCTGGATCTAGCACTACATCCAGGACTGTAAACAAAGAAGATCTGAGAGGGAGTCCTGGCAAAACTTAAGCTCTGCCTAGGCATCTAACAAAACACTAAAATTAACAGAAGAGTAGCATCTTTATCTGTCCCTTGCATCATCAATCTATGAGAAGATCAAACCCAAAGGAGAGCATGACCTTAACAAAACTGATCGACAAAGAAAAAGGTTTTAAGCTCTTCTAAAAGAAATCTGGGAGGGAACCAAATACATCTCTGGGGAAGGGGAGAGTTGGAGCCACAAACAAAAAGAAAGTCCTATCACATGTGGCTACTTCCTCCCAGGTAAGAGTTTACAAGATTGCAACCTGAGGTATATAATTTCATCCATTTCTTCCTGAAGCATCTGTGCTAATTGTATATAACGTTGTGCTATTGTATTGGGGGCTGGCAGGTGGCGCTGTGGGTTAAACCACAGAGCCTAGGACTTGCCCATTAGAAGGTCGGCGGTTCAAATCCCCACGACAGGGTGAGCTCCCACTGCTCGGTCCCTGCTCCTGCCAACCTAGCAGTTCGAAAGCACATCAAAAGTGCAAGTACCGCTCCAGCGGGAAGGTAAACGGCGTTTCCATGCACTGCTCTGGTTCGCCAGAAGCGACTTAGTCATGCCGGCCACATGACCCGGAAGCTGTACGCCGGCTCCCTCAGCCAATAAAGCAAGATGAGCGCCGCAACCCCAGAGTCGGTCATGACTGGACCTAAGGTCAGGGGTCCCTTTACCTTTACCTAGCAGAAGCTGCCACTTTGCTACTAAGTCTAGCCATTGCTTGCAGATGCTGAGCAAGCATCACTAAAGCATCAACCAGCTGGACCTCTTTTTAATACACAAACAGGAGTCATCCCAGATCCTGAGACCAAAGCCCTTCTTCTACTCTAGACTTCCCCAACCTGGTGCCCTCCACATTCTGTTGCACCAAAAGTACCGTCTTCCTTGACCATTGGCTGTGCTGGCTAGAGCTGATGTGAGCTGGATTCCAACAACATGTGGGAGACACCAAGTTAGAGAAGGCTGTTCTACCCCAGACCCCCAAGGCAAAAAGGTTATCTCACCTTCCTCATCCATCTGGACTTCATCTACCACAGAAGCATCATATTCACCGGCTGTGGCTTCGGTTATGTAGTTCCCCAGATCCATTGCCCCTAGATCAGCCAAACGTTTTTTTGTTTCCTGGGAGAAAGAAAGAGAACAGAAGTTGGTCAGAAGTGGAAGGAAAGACAGTAATATGGAGTAGAGTTGGGAAGGCATAACTGTAAAGTTATTAGGAGGACAAAGCAGTAAGTTGCACTGCAGATAACATCTAGTCACACCGCACTATTAACAGAAATGCATACCTGGGAGCTATACAAGATGTGACAGTGGTTTGGATGGCTGAGCACATTTTGTATGCAGGAGGCCCCAGATCCAGTCTTCAGTATCTCCAGTTAAAAAGATGCAATGCTGAAAAAAATCTCTGGAGAACCACTGCTAGTTAAAGCAGATAGTACTGGTTTAGAAGAACCAGAGGTCTCATTTGATATAAGACTGTTTCATATGGAAGGTGGGTGGGGGGAGCACTATGGGCTCAGTGACAAGACCTCAGTGACATTCAGTCTTTGGCATCTCAGACTGAAGGACAAGTGGGGGGGAAATCCTTCTCTGCCTGGAATATATTGCAGAGGTACTACCAGTTACAGCAGATGCACAGCTGCAAGAAGAGTGTGTGTGTGTGTGTTTCAATAGCAGGGAAAGGGGCTTCTATTTAACACTTTGTCCAATGCTGTAGCTTTAATCAGCTTCAATCAGCTATGCTTGTTAGAAAAGGCTCCCATGCACTCATGCAGGAACTTTCCCAGCCCCTTCTTGAAATGTCAAGGTCGAACCAGGAGGCTTCAGTACACAAAGCACATCCTCCACAACCAAACCATTGGTCCACCTAGTCCACCATTTGCTATTAATGTGATTGGCTCTCCAGGCTTTCAGGCAGGAACTCTCCAATCCTTACATTGAGATGTCAGGGATTGATGGAAGAGGGGGAGGGGTTTTTTTGATGGGGGAGGGGGGAGGGGCTTCTGCACACAGAGCACATGCTCCAAAACCAGACCAGTGGTCCCCCCAGCCCAGAATTCTCCATGCTTGCTGGAAGTGGCTCTACACTCCCTCAGACAGGAACATTCCCAGCCCCACCTTTCAATGTCAGGGGTTGAACTGGGGAAGGGGGCTTCTGCACACAGAGCACATGCTCCAAAACCAAACCAGTGGTGTCCCCCCTGCCCCCAGGGGACAGGGGCGGGGGGCGCAGAAGAAAAGAGAAGAGGAAAGCAAGTCTTCAGCCACCAGCGATGTCTGTGTATCATCCAGAAAGTAAAGCCGGAGAAAATGTGGTAAATTTAGAACAGAAATTTCCCCCCTGAAAAATAAGAATTTCCCCCCCTAGAAAAAGAGGGCACATGACAACCCTAGATATTTGCTACGCTTTTCTGCAGGAGCTCTCCCAGTCCTCCCTGGCGACTGAGGAAGAGCTCTTCCCCATGCGGAGCAAGCCCCCTAACTATGGAGCTCCGGTCCCGGGGCGGCTGCTCGGAGAGTAGCGACCCCAGCCCCCTGCCCCCGAGAGGAGCCCACCTCGTCGAAGAGCTCTTCCCCATGCGGAGCAAGCCCCCTAACTATGGAGCTCCGGTCCCGGGGCGGCTGCTCGGAGAGTAGCGAGCCCCAGCCCCCTGCCCAGCGCCCAGCCCCCTGCCCCCGAGAGGAGCCCACCTCGTCGAAGAGCTCTTCCCCATGCGGAGCAAGCCCCCTAACTATGGAGCTCCGGTCCCGGGGCGGCTGCTCGGAGAGTAGCGAGCCCCAGCCCCCTGCCCAGCGCCCAGCCCCCTGCCCCCGAGAGGAGCCCACCTCGTCGAAGAGCTCTTCTCCCTCGAGCTGGCCGTGGTCGTTAATGTTGCCGAAGTGCAATGCGGCCAGGGAGAAGGGCTTGGCTGCTGCTGCTGCCGCCGCCGCCGCCGCCGCTTCCTCGCTGTCCGTGTCTGACATCTCCGCCAAGCGGTATCTGCAGGTGCCGCCTCCAACAGCGCCATTTATTTCAACTCGGGTTTGTTTATATCGGAAGCGGAAGTTGCGCCGTGTCTCGCCGCATTCATAGAGAGCAGCCATGAGGGTAGAGCGGCGCTAGACTAGCGAGTTTGCCGTGGGACGGGACGCGGGAGGCCTGTGAAGGACGGGGAGGCGTGGCTTCCCTCTACGCCGTGCTGAGCGAAATGAATGAGCGAGGGCATAGCTCAAGTCGGCAGAGCGAGCGCGGGACGGTTGCGGGCTCCAGCCCCCACGCTGGGAGAATAGATTTATTCCGGGACCCTTGTAGTCCCTTACAGCTCTTTTGGTTTTATAAATGAATCTTTTGTTACATCACACACGAGGAGCTCTCAAGTGGCGAAGTTGCTGCTGACGGTGCTCCTAGTAGGGGATATGTTGGAAAACCCAGGACTTTCTCCCAACCTGCATGCAGTTAACCTGTGGAACTCCGACACAATGATGTGGCAACAAATTCTTACTCAAGACTGCTTTTAAAGGGGGGGGGGTAACGCTGCAATCCTAAACTTCCATACCTGGGAGTAAGCCCCATTTAATTCAATAGCACTTACCTCCGAGGAGGCATGCTTAGGCTTGCACTACTGAAACATGTTCCACGAGGTGGCAGCAACATAGCTGTCAACTTTTCTCTTTTCTTGCGAGGAACCCTATTCGGAATAAGGGACAGCTATGGGCAGGAAGAAGGGGGGTAGCAGCAGGTTTGGGACGAAATCAGAGCTTACCTAGCTTAACGCAATACCAGTGGTTTACCCAGAAAGATGAAATTAGGGAGCTGAAACAGTGAACAGAAGCACTGCACACTACTTTAACTTACAGAGCCTGTGCTAATTTGTTTTGAAGAGCAGGTGGTGTGTGAGGGGGTGATTTAAAAAATACAACGGGCTACTGCAGGGTGCTAGACTGGATGGACATTTGGCCTGACCCAGCAGAGTTCTTGTGCTCTTAAGGGAAGACAGAATAGATTTGCATCCACATAAAGGTAAAGGGACCCCTGACCATTAGGTCCAGTCATGACCGACTCTGGGGTTGCGGCGCTCATCTCGCTTTATTGGCCGAGGGAGCCGGCGTACAGCTTCCGGGTCATATGGCCAGCATGACTAAGCCGCTTCTGGCGAACCAGAGCGGAAATGCCGTTTACCTTCCCACCGGAGCAGTACCTACTTGTCTACTTGCACTTTGACGTGCTTTCGAACTGCTAGGTTAGCAGGAGCAGGGACTGAGCAATGGGAGCTCACCCCGTCGTGGGGATTTGAACTGCCGAAGGTCGGCAAGTTCTAGGCTCTGTGGTTTAACCCACAGCGCCACCCGCGTCCCTTTGCATCCACATATATTCACACAATTGCTTGTTTTGGGAAATGGGTAAGTTTTTATTGTGTTTTCTGCACAACTACCACCCAGCAGAAATCAGGCAAGGATGAGGTGGCACTAGAGGTAACAGAAGTAGCATATGTCCAACTGTAGTTCTTGGACATTATAAATTTGGTCTGCCTACACCAAATTTGTGAAGGTCTGATAGAACAATGGAGTAGGAGACACTTCTGAAATGGAACAAAGACATGATAAAGGTTACATTTAAACAGGCGTAGATGATGGTAGCTGCTGCACCATCCCTACTTCAACCTTTTAAGAGGCACTACTACTGCCATAACTCACATCCTCCTCTCCAGCTCAGAATGCAATTCTAGGCATGACTGGAGAGATATTTCCCTCAGAACTAAATGCAAGATCAAAGCTGTAAAAACAGAGGAACATTCTTAAAGGGAGCAAGGGCATTTCATAAAAGATCAAAGTTGCTCTAAACAAACTTGGTTCCAAGGAACTACAAATTCCTTATAACAAAAGCTCAGGGAGAAAGGGAACACTTTTTGAAACACCCCTTACGAAAAGAGAGAGAGAATGAATAACCAGACAAAGGAAAAAACCAAGAAAATGCTTTATTACAATTTAATTCTGCATAATTTAAAAATAACTCCGTTAGTCGCCATACAAATTTATTTTTTAACTATAAAATCAGTTGCCAGTGTATGTTTCAGTACCACACAGTCTCAGATTCCCCTTGCACATTAAGGCACATGTGGCACACCCATCAACCACGTAAAACCTCAACCTAGAGAAATTCCTTCCAACGGGCAGATCAGACAGCTCTTTCACCTTGGCCCCTGCAGTACCCAGAATTATTTCTGCAAGGCAGATGAAGAAAGCTTTGCAAGTTTTTAGGGCCTGCACATTCTACACAAACATTCAAGTAAAAAACAACAACACCTATTGGCCTGCAGAGCCTAGTCCACAATATTTCTGGGCCTAAAGGCACCAGAGCCTAACACAGTTATGATTTTATTTGATGTTCAAAAAAGCATTTGGATCCAGAGATTAGACCAAACCATATTTAACTGTGTTCCCTAGTCACCAAGAACGTGTCCGTCTCCACTTTAAATCCTGAGAACGGTCAGATCACAGCCAAAGGACCCAGGCTATGTGGGGAGGAGAAGAAAATACCCAATTTCAATTGTAGTGATCTAGTCAGGTTAGCCTCAACTCTTAGGACTTCTAGGTGCAGATTTTGTTCAACCATGGTGTGAACTACACTGGCTTTCCACCTGGTCTCAGTTATCTGTCTAGCTCCATTACACCTGCATTTTATTGGCATCAATACCGAGGACAGCTCACAAGTACTGTGATTCTAAAGTCAGGCAAATTTTGCTCTCCATTTACACCACCAGATTTGTAATCAGAACAATCGTCATATAAAAACATAAATAATTCACTTCGAAATGGTGCTGAGCTTTAAAAAAAAAAAAGGAACAGAATTCTGCTCAGTATTGTTTTGTTCCTTGGCAGCAATGCAGCATACCTGTGGAGAAAACACTCATTTCTCAAGAACTGCAATTAACAAACTTGTTGATCAAATAAATAAGCTATCCTTGGCCAGAGAGATGCCATAGAGCATCAGGCTCCCAATAAACTAAAGATCTTGAATATGGCCACAAATCATCATAAGTAAAAAAAAGTTCCTTAATGCCACTAGATTAAAACAGCTGTGGTGCTAGAAATGCATGTTTTCTTTTTAAAAAGCACTTGCACATGTTTTTTTTTCCAAGAAAGGGAAGTTAATATTTCAGTGAAAGTTAAAACCCTGCCTATATGCACCTATATTGGGTACCTATGTCCTAAAGAGGTCAACAAACCAGTGCAACATTTTAATAGCATTTACACCTGAAAGTTTAGAAGGCAAGAAATTACTGATATTTTCACCTGCAGGAGAAAACATAGTACTAATGAAAAGGCACAGAAATACAGTACTGCTTTGTAGCATTGGCAATTATATTAAAAAGGCAGGCGGGGTGTAGTGAGCAAATGAGACCTTCTGCTCTAGAGCAGGCAGATCTCTGCCATCTATACCACATTCATAAGATTTACGGTCAACCACAACATTTGGGGAAGGAGGCATATGCTGAGGAAATGGTGGGCACTGCCACGGTGCCCATGGACATAAAGGCCAGCCAGTCCAGAGTTTATATAAGGGTACCTGTAGCATAGCTGAGTTCAGTAAGCCTCCAACAGTATAAAACATACCTAAAATCAAGTGAGTGGGCACACTCTTCATTGTGGGGTTTAGTTGGCCTGGCAGCAATGCCATCAGGGCATCTTCCTACAGCAGGCACAGCAAGAGTATAATCTTGGAGTGATGGACTCTTATGGCAGGCTGAGAAAGGCTGTGGAGGGCAAGCCCAGCTTTAAAAGGATATGTGGCAAAGTCAGCTTTTGAAAGGATGCCTTGGCTTAATCACACAGCTGAGGGACACCCTCCAGAAACAGTAAGGAGCTGCATTATAAAGCCCAGTTTTCCAACCCTGAAAGCAAAAAGGGACCAGCTCCCAATCCCAGAACAAGTTTGTGGAACCTGCATCCAATTCCATGAAGAGGAGCAGAGTAGTTTTGATCTTATTGAAAGCCCTCTCAGTTTCTAAATCTCTGTTACCACATGTGGTGCTTGCATCCCACAGCGGAGACATTCTAAAATTCAGAACATGTTCTCAAACACTCTTGGCAAATTGACAAATTATTGGAAAGGCACAGCCCTATCTATACAAAAGACAGCTAACTGATGAAGAAATTGTTAGGAAAAGCAACAGTGGCACATGAATCAAAACAGATTACTGTCTCCTTCAGAAAGGACTGTATCTTAGGTTTGTATAGCAAAGAAAGCACTTGTCTTGGACAGTCTCTCTTGGCTGCAGCTCTCCTCCACTGAAGAGATGGAGAATTAGGTAAGCATAGACACTGAGAATATGGCAGATAGGGTGATCTTAAAACTTGGAATTGATGTCTTTTGTTCCAGTCTGCTGGAACTGGCACCTGAACTGCAGGAGTACTTGCGGAAAGAAATATATCTCTTTAGAGCCATTAGTGCAAGATGCAATTAGATTAAGGAGGCAACCTTCAAAACAACCCAAAGCCCTCAATCCTTGCTCCACGTTCCTTGGCGACTACAACAGAAGGCACTTCTTGGAGTTCTTCTTTGTCACAGGGTATAAAACGGCACGCACAGCTTCAGCAAAGACTTCTCTCACCCCCTCCTGGTTCAGCGCTGAGCATTCCAAATATTTGACGGCTCCAATCTGCTTGGCCAGCGACGTCCCCTGCTGGGGGGTGGTGGGGCCCAGGCTCTGCTCCTTCAGCTTCTTCACCGTCTCCGTGTTACTTCTCAAGTCCTTCTTAGTGCCAACAAGAAGAATCGGCACATTTGGGCAGTGGTGAGACACCTCAGGGTGCCATTTGTGCCTCACATTTGCGTACGAGGAGGGGCTCCCAATGGAGAAGCAGATGACGAAGACATTGGTCTGAGGATAGGAGAGGGTGCGCAGGCGGTCATATTCCTCCTGGCCTGCCGTGTCCCAGAGATTCAGACTAACCATCCTGCCATCAACAGTCATCTGAGCGCTGTAGTTGTCGAACACCGTGGGAATGTATTCCTCAGGGAATGCATTGGTAGTGTAGCTGATGAGCAAGCA